ATACGATACGCTTTATTGTGTGATTTCTAAGGACTTTTGTGTGTCTATCTTGGGGTTCTTTGAAGGGAGGCCATAGGACCGTGGTTCTCAAACCCTGAATGTTGCAGTGCTCTAACAAGTTTGTTTTCATGATGTTGGGAGCAGAAGAAACTTGTGCAGACCAGTTGTACTCAAAGACCAAGACCACTTTTGGTTCCCCAAAGAGCTTTTCGGTTAAGTGGTTTCAACTGAGGTTTTTTAAAGATCCATTTACTGAAATGTTATTTAGAGAACCGAAAGTGTCTCTTATTGAGCTTCACTCCAAATAATGCTAATACTCAATCAAAACCTCGGGGTTTCTCACGGTGGACTTAACATGCATGTAAAAGAGAAAGTCCACAAGGCTGTGGAGCTGAGACTTTCAGTTACCCAAATTTCATAGCGAAACACGCATGATGACGAAACAGGAGTAGTTCCAACAATTAATAATAAATAAAAATGAAATATTTTAGACCAGGGGTCGGCCCCATGCGGCTCTTTTACTGCCCTGTTGCGGCTCCACAGCAGAATTATATGTTCCACCCGGTGGAAACCCACGAGAACATGCAAACTCCACACAGAAAGGACCCTGGTCACCCGGCCAGGAATCAAACCCAAGCCCTTGTTGCTGTGAGGCAACAGCGCTACCCACTGCGCAACCATGCCGCCCCCAATGTGGCACCACTAGTTCTTTTTTATTGGTTCCAACTTAACATATGTCAAAAAAATAAATACTGTGACACACATTTTCTAAAGCGCTTGTCCTTCTAGGACGTGGGGCTTTTAAAGTGTGGTGATATTATATTTTTTGCCATATCACCCACTCCTACTTTGGTGAGCGTCACAGAACGTAGGTCTACAGTCAGTGATCAGAGTTCAGAGATTTAGATGGGACATTATTTTTAACCTCTTTCTGCAGGCCTCCTAGCAGCCATTCTAACAGTGGAAAGGAAATCAACTCAGTCATTTTTAATTCATATAATCAAATATGTTTTTTTTCTGTAACTCTGTTGTCTGATGAACTAGGACATTGATGTCTATGAAACGTTGTGTCTGTGTTGAGCTGCTAGTGAGCAATGATGGTTCAGAATCAACAACATTTAACCCAACAAAAGTCATATGATACACCACAACCATGGAAAACACTGCATTGCGCTTCCTATCAATGTTATAAACTGCGTTTCTTTAACACTGTCCCTGTTTTTCACTTCACTAGGTTGTGTCGCTGTGTTCTAGCCTGTGTGCCTATAAGAGATAGAAACTGATTGACTGGCTGGCGGTCGCTTGACCTTCGCTTGGACAGCAGGTGGAAGGGGGGATGAGGGTGAGCTATTATATAAAGCTTTGAGAGCAGGGTCAGCCCAGAGATTAGGAGGATCACGCTTCAGTAGATGGGATTTAAAGAGTGCATTTAAGTAGTTTGTGGGATGCAGCCGCTAATTCTTACTACACTAATTAAAGAAAACACTAGTTTTAATGCTTTAATTATATTAGTGTTCAAGTGGCATTTTTCATAATTCTTCTTCAATAGAAATAAAATGAATAGAAATGTCTCTCCTTGCCTTGAATACATTTACATCAGTGCTCACCAGTCTTTCTCCTGGAGGTCCACGTTCAGTTTAGTCTCCGTTTGTATGGGACATGGACACCCACACGCTCGTCCACAGGCTAATGCACTAATGCCATTTCAGTTATGATTCCCTATTGAAAAGCCTTCATAGTCAACGTTAATCTGGGTCTCAAAGTTTGAAGTAATGTCTTTCTTAAATAAAGTAGGTTTCTGGTGATGGAGTGAAAACAGAGCTGAAGTCTCTGTTCAGCAACGCTGCGTTTCTGTATGCTTGAAACAGGCATGAATCAGAGCGGAGTCCAAGGAGGCTTTTCGTTAATCTCAGCATGTACTGCCAGCTTAAGGGTTTTTTTTTTTTTTTCTTTTTAGTATTTTGATTAATTCTGGGATTGGGTTTGGACCTCTGTAATGCTGTTTGCCTGGCCTCTAATCTGCTAACCTCATAACTCTTAATCAAAACCCCAAGCAGTTTTTTTTTGTTGTTGTTCTATATTTTAATCTTGAATGAACGAGGCTGTGGATTATGTGCCTGTCCTGTCTTTCCTCTTCCTGTCAGATGACTTTACCTGAATGACAGTTCTAGAACAATCTGTCAGATGAGAGATCACTCCAACCAGGCCTGCGACCCGAGCTTGGACAATAGCAAGGTGCGCAGAATGTGCCTCACATTTCAGTTCAAACAGGTAGAACATGTTAATATGTCTACTTCCTCTTGCCTTGCTGTGCTTGGTATCCGTGTCCCTGTACACTCTTTAAAAAGATGGTCCTTAAAGGGTTCTTTAGTAAAGAAAATGTTCTATATAGAACCATGAACATTCCAAGAACCCTTTGCATGATTAAAGGGTTCTTCAGTTTGATGGAGAATGTGCTGTACGGTTCTATATAGAATCTTTTTAAAAAAGGTTCTTCTATTGTTACAATGTCAAGCTTTTAACTATAGACTATATCTTAGACTCTGAGCTCTGTTTTATCCCACATGTAAACACAGTCACTAAAGTAGCTCTCAGGCTAAGGCTGTCGGCCTTTTCCGTCTCAGAGCAACGCAGACAAACTTGTTCATGCATTTATTACAGGAGAGTTGATCACTGTAATGATCCTCTTACTGGACTTCCTAAGAAAACAATACACCCTTTACAAATCGTACAAAATGCATCAGCATCCTAACAAAAACAACACAGAGAGATCAGATCAGTCCTGTTTTAAAAGAGCTGCACTGTCTGTATCGTTTAGGATAGACTTTAAAGTTCTGCTACTAGTTTTAAAGGCTCTAAATGACCTTAAAGCACCACCTACATCACAGAGTGTCTGTTTATGATCTTAGATCTGCAGATACTGACCTTCTGAACACCTTCTGTAAAATACAGAAAACAGAGAGACTCGTTCAGTTATTCAGCTTCTAAACTGTGGAGCTCAGTTCACCTTTTATTAGACAGTCAAGCTCAGAGCTCACTTTTAAGAAGCATCTAAAAACGTATCTCTTCAACTCAGCATTTAATTAAAACTCTACATCTCGTGGTTTTTATCTTTTAATCTGATCTGTGTCATTTTCTTATGATTCTAAATGAATACTTATAATTTCTTCTATTGCTGTTAAGCTTTATCACCTGTCTGTAAAGCATTTTGAGCTGCCACCGGCATGAAAAGTACTATATAAATAAAAAATATTATTATTATTATTATTATGGAAGAACGCTTTGGTGTGCTATATAGAACCCTTTTCAAAAAGGTTCTATATAGAACCATCTACGACACATTCTCCATCAATCTGAAGAACGCTTTAATCATGCAAAATGTTCTTTGAATGTTCATGGTTCTATAAAGACCCATTTTCTTTACTAAAGAACCCTTGATGAAACATCTTTTTAAGCACAAAAGCTTACCGGCTGTTTCTTTTAGTCACAATTGTTTTTGTCTTATCAAAGAGAGAGAGAGAGCAGCTTCATATTCCTTTTCAGCTACCTTGGCACTGGATATAATATCCGTTGTTTACATATAAATGCAGGGAAAGGAGAGGAAGGATTAGAGGCCGCTCACAGATACGTCCTCTCACTGAGCTCAAATTAGTCAAGCAGCTGACGTGATATTTCTCTGTACGCTAGAACTCTTCAGTCTTTAAGCTCATGTTAAGGAGACTTTAAGACTTCTCCATCTGTGAGAGACATACAGATGTCAGTTATACGTAAGCGCAATGCTGAAACTTAGAATATAATCTATTATGGTGTCTATTTTTATGTATTCATGTCTCCTGCTGTTTTAATTTAATCTGAGAATTAAAGTATTAATGACATACCACAATGTATACACCATTCTATCAATGCATGGTAGATACAGTGACTGGAATTGCTCTCTCTGATGTCCATCCTTTCGATCAAAGCAGCTCTAAAAAGTCTGATTTCTGTGTAAATATGAAAACAACAACAAGTGCGAGTGAACACAGAGATCAGGGCTTAATCAGTTAATCAGACAGGCTTATGTTCACATATGGTCTTATAATCAGTATCAGGTGCTGCATTTATTCAAAAGAGTTTCATACTATTATACTAAACTGGAGCCAAGCATCCTCTGAGCCTTTAGGGATAGGGAGGTCGCAGGAGCAACACCTAAAGACAGACTATTATAGCCAAATACTGCCATCTGCTGGTGGAACAGAGCTCATAACACCTACACCTATGCTCATTGTCCATTTTATCAGCTCCACTTACTATATAGGTGCACTTTGTAGTTCTACAGTTACAGACTGTAGTCCATCTGTTTCTCTACCCTGTTGTTCAGTGGTCAGGACCCCCATGGACCCTCACAGAGCAGGTACTATTTGGGTGGTGGATCATTCTCAGCACTGCAGTAACACTGACGTGGTGGTGGTGTGTTAGTGTGTGTTGTGCTGGTCTGAGTGGATCAGACACAGCAGTGCTGCTGGAGTTTTTAAGCACTGTGTCCACTCACTGTCCACTCTATTAGACACTCCTACCTTGTCAGTCCACCTTGTAGATGTAAAGTCAGAGACGATAGCTCATCTGCTGCTGCACAGTTTGTGTTGGTCATCTTCTAGTCCTTCATCAGTGGTCACAGGTCGCTGCCCACAGGACGCTGTTGGCTGGTTATTTTTGGTTGGTGGACTATTCTCAGTCCAGCAGTGAGCACTGCTGTGTCTAATCCACTCAGACAAGCGCAACACACACTAACACACCACCACCACCACATCGGTGCTGAGAATGATCCACCACCCAAATAGTACCTGCTCTGTGAGGGTCCATGGGGGTCCTGACCACTGAAGAACAGGGTAAAAGGGAGCTAACAAAGTATCAGAGAAACAGATGGACTACAGTCTGTAACTGTAGAACTACAAAGTGCACCTATATAGTAAGTGGAGCTGATAAAATGGACAATGAGCGTAGAAACAAGGAGGCGGTCATAATGTTATGCCTGATCTGTGTAAATATTCAATAGCCCTTTAATGTGGAATCCCTCGGTACACTTTATGATTCATTGCATGTATTAGAAATGAATGCTGTACTTCATGAAAGGAATAAATCCAGAGCAAGTGTGAATTAGCAATATTAAACAAACAATTTAATCATTTTGCCCGGGTGCCTTGTAAGAAAAATTAACTAATTTGGGGCCATGCAAAAAAGCCGCACTGAGGCAAGAAAATAATTAAACCATTAGTTATGCAAGTAATCATATTCCATATGTTTAGGAACAACAAGATAACCATTTGTCTACAAAATAATAAAAACACATCTCTCCCGGTATGGGCCAGTTACCTTAAATTTTGATGAATGTGTTTATGCCATGACTACGTGAAGCAATACATGTAGTCCAAACTTACCCTAAAGCTCCTTCATATGTTGTACATTAACGTTGTATGTTATAAATTAACTACAAAATTATTTTCCAGCATGCTTTTTTTTGAACTTCCTGAGTGTTGCTTGCCTCTCTGTAGAGATTCCTCTGTCAGTCTCTCTTGTGATGAACTGGGGAAGAATTGATGGGGGCTATCTAAAAGTGGGTCAGAAACGGGTCATCGGGAGTGTAATTGGGAGAAACCTGCCTTAAACTATAAAAACGATCCTTCTGTTCAGTGAATAGTTCATATAACACTGACAAAATCAGACTGACTTATAAATGAGCGTAAAACTACATGACTGCACACACATAAAAGGATCAATATACAACCTTAAAGACAAGGAATAAAAGTGAGCTCATACATTTTAAGGTTGACAGTTAGTCTCAAAGCTTCATACAGTGAAAAAAATCGATTTTTTAAGCACATTTTCCATTTTCCACGGTCCTCATTTTAAACAAAGTTCTTGATTTACAGATCATATTAAAAAAAAAACAGGAAGCACCTTTTATTCGTCTGTTTCAAGTTTGCTGATTTGGTCTGAGCAGATGTGCGTGACTGAGGTCATCGTGCTCTCCTCTGTGTGCGGAGAGTCAATAGGATGGGGGTCAGGTTGACCTACAAGCAGACCTGAGGGGCTCTGGGTTTTGCCTTTGGCTCCACCGGCAGGGGGTTCCAGAGTGGAGCTGGTGGAAGGCCTGGGCTCACAGCCAACAGCATCGATGGCCAGACCTGCAGCCAGGGGCTGGAGTTCAGACTCAGCACAGTGGTAGATACATGCTTTGGTGGACAGGTGGGCTGTGAATGGGCAGTCTGCCAGTGAGGTGTACTTGGCAAACACCTGTACCTGCTCCGGCCGGAGGTTGGCCTCAGTGCACAGTCTCTCGTACAGACCAGAGTAGCTCTGCCATGTCTTCAGCTTCAGCTGGTCCAGCTGCTGCTTCTCAGCTGTTAGCTTCTCCTTCTCGCTCCGCTGCAAAACATGCACATTCTCACTTTTGTGGACGTTTGTGGAAAGTCAGTGGGGCAAAATAACTAAACTTGTCCCTATCTTACCTCAAAAATCAAGCCATTTCTTTGCCCAGTTTTACCTAAACCACAGTCTAGTCACAGCCAGTTGTACCCAACTCCTCTTATCACACAATGCTATTATACTGGGAGGGTGACAGCTAACCTCTAAAGCATCAATCCATCGTTTCAAACTGCCGCTACTGTGATTACATCAGCTAACAGGCACTTGCATTGGAGATCATTGTGTCGAGTGGAAAAAAAACCCCAAACCATACCAGTTTAGAGCGTAAGGCTTCATACTTCTTCAATATTACGTGATTTTACTTTGCATTTTAAAGTGATTTTATTTAAACTGGTTCAGTAAAATACACAAGGTTAGTGTATTTTAAGTGTGTACTAAGCAGCTGTACAACTAAACCACCAGAAGTAACTTCTTTGCTTATAGAACAATCCGAGAGCACCACATCCTGACTACCCACCAGTCTTTCGATCTCGCACTCCAGGTTATGAATGCAATCCAGCTTCCTCTTACGGCAGCGGCGAGCGGCGATGCGGTTCTTGCTGCGGCGCCGGACATCGTGCACAAAATCGAGCTGCTCGCGTGTCAGGGAGTGCGTCTTCAGCATCTGCTGGAAGTCATTGCGGCTCAGAGACGCAATGCGATCCACAGAAAACGGCAGCTGCATCTGCAGGAGAGAAGTGCCTGCCGTCAGTCAAGCTACATCTGTGTTACCGTGCTGAGTTTGTTAAAACAACACTAAGGCTACGTTCACACAGCAGGTAAAAGTGGCTCAAATCTGATTTTCTCACCAAATCGGATCAGTCTGAGCAGATCAGCTCCTAAACTGACCCGCATGCGCAAAAGAACAATGCTTCATGTTGCTTCACGCGGCTCATCCAGAGGTAAACAATCACGACTGCCAACAAACAGCAGTCACTCCCGGAGAATCAGCTTCATCTTCACCAGCATCACAGGAGCCATCATGAAGCTTCACTGACTGTCAAATGAGCTCATCGCCCAGAATGTGTTCGAGGTCAGTGTCAAAAGGGCGCGGTCACTACTTTGGTTTATGTCCTCGGATTCTTTAAACTTTGCTTTCAGACTTTTAACTGTTTATTTGACGCTGCAGCCTCGTTCTCCTGCAGCCACGTTCGGACACTTCTTTCAAAATCTCCTCAAACACAGAGGGTTTTGGATGAGTCTCTTCTAATGTTTGTACAGAAATATCAGCCCAAATGTTTATGAGGTCTCAGCAGCGTGAAATTATGATGAATGTTGAGCTGGACTGACGTAAAAGTCGCAAGAATTCTGATCTGGCTGATTGGATACGTATTGGATTTCAGTACCACATATGAAAGCGTCTCAGAATTGAAAATGTCAGATTCAGTGTGTTTTTGCTGTTCACACTGACAGACAGACACACATCTGTGTCACACATGAGGAAAAAGATCGGATTTGGGCCACTTTTACCTGCTGTGTAAACATAGCCAGACATACCTTCTTTGTGTGTGAATGAACAATCCAGTTGGGTAATAACACTTTAGGATCATAATAATATGTCAGTAATAACTGTGTAATAAGATCTTTCATCTGCAGATGCTTGTTCAAGTCTTTCTCTTTCTCACAAATAGGGCACGTCCAACTTCATAAGAGGCAAAAAGTACGGAAACAAAAGACACTCTGAACTGTTCCTCATCCAATGTTCTAGTCTCAGGTGGTTAATACTGAAACTGGTTTATAATTATAGTGTCCTGTGTCTGCCTGATATGAGGCAATGACTGTGTGACCATGTGGACTTTTCCCTTTGCCACAGGGTGTTGAAGCATCATCAAGAGTACAACATAAGCACACTGCCAACATTTTTACGGCCCTAAACAAGCTGCCAAATTCCAACGAACACATTTACTTCGAAGTAGGCAGTTTAGTTTACGAGAGCACGAACAAACAAGGAAAAGATTTTTTCACAGAGAACCTCCTACCTAAGTTTCAGAGGTTAAGGTGAACGTTTGTTTGGTCAAATCGTGAGCAGTAGATACCTGTAAAATATGTTAACAAAATCTTCAAATCTCAAAATTTCAGTGTTTAAATTCTGAATGGTACAATGTAAATTAGTACTGTAACGTTTAGAGTCGTTTGATGTAAAGGAATAACTTAAAAGTTCACTGATTATCTTCATTGAGCTCATTTAAAAGTTTCAGATGAAATAAACAGAAGAGACGTTTGGCAGCTCTTCCAGCTTTTCCTGTTTTCCTGTCTGGCAGACATGTTGCATTGGACAGGTAATACTGCTATTGTTTAATACTGACAACCTGCCAGTATTTAATTACTGTGCACTTGAGTGTCTTTAAAGCAATCTTTAAAATCTACACTATTCTCTCCTCACCACAAATATTCCCCCTCTATAAAACTGATAAATGTACAGACAAAATTCAGGCCTCAAACTGGTTACTACTGTTACTAGCTATATAATATCTGTATTTTTATAGATAACATTATTGCATACAGATTACTTAATAACCTGGCCTGGTTTGAGGCATATATGTGATGATGTAGACAGTTTGCACAAGTGGTGTTCATAAGCTTCCATGTCGTTAGCTATATTAACCTTGTAGCTCCAGTGAAAAACTAAAGAAATAAACTTGGAAAACCAAACATGTCTTGGCTGATTGACGACATCTGGGTAAAGAGGAAAACTGTAAATCAGACTATTTCGCTTTACGAAGTCAATGGAACTAATCAGCCGATGCTCACCTCACTCGCCCGTTCATTAGTGTAGGACTCGCTGTCGCCCTCTGTATCGAAGCTGTCCGAGTCTTCTCCTGAGTGCATGGAGATGTAAGGGCTCTCAGCTGAACAGGGTAGCCTCTCGCTGCCTCGTACCTGAGCGTCCACTGCGTCCAGGTCCCTGAGAAAGGGGCAGTCCACCGGTCTGGGCCCGAGCTCCAGCTGTCTGAGCCAGTGCATCTCTGAGGTTCTCCTTGTTGTGTCTGGGGCAGATGAGGCTTTGGGACTGAAAACGTCAGGCCAGGAAGAGAGCTGGTTTGCCACCTCGATCTCCACAGTGCTCCTTTGGTCTGCTCTGAGTGTGCTGCATGGGCTTGGACAGGCTGGTCCTGTGCAGTAGTCTGAGGTTATGGCTTCTTTACCCTTAAGTCTTGCAGCAAGACTCTCTCCTCCTTCCCCTGCAGTTGCTGGGGCAGTTGCTGGGCAGCTGGCCTCTGCAGCCTCCCTGCAGAACTGCACTGATGCCTGGCCGGGGCAAAGACTCAGAGGTGTCTCGGTTGGTGCTTGCTTAGCAAGCGGGCAGCAAAAAGGTGTCACAGCATCCTCCACGTTGTCTCCTGGAGGGTCTTTGCCAGTAACCACGGACTTGCAGTCTCCAGAGCTGGAGCAAGGCAGGCAGTTTAGAAGGCAGGCACTGCTGGTGTTTTCAGCCTCGGGGCCACAGGTGTCCATGAAGGACGGGCCCTTTCCACAAGCCAGCTGAAACTTGCGGTACTTTGGGCACAAGAGGGAATAATCCGGTCTGGACTGCGTTTCCGTCTCTACATGTGTTTCCATCTGAGATTCGGCATTTTCACCAGGTTTAGCTGGGCTGGACAGCTCCTTTTTCTCCAGCGCGGCACACGGGGGCACCAAAGATGTTTCTTGAGCATCATCATCATCATCATCATCATCATCATCCTTCACGCTTGATTCAGCCTTTGATCTCCAGCATTTGGTCTTACAGCACTGCTTCCTGGGTCCTTTTGACGAACTTTTGCTGCTGTCAAAGAACTTAGGCAGGAGGAAGTCAAAGCAGGCCTTATCCAGGTTCTTGAAGCCCAAAACGGTGGCACAGTTACGGATCTCCAGTACATTCTCTTTGGTGAAGAGCAGTTTGGAAGTGTATGCAAACTGCAGCAAAGGCTCAAATCCTTCTGCAGTTACCTTGGAAAAACAAGACACTTTTCAGTGAGTGAAAAGGACACATAGGCCCAATCCCACCTCTTATTTTTATCCCTACCTCCTGTTTCTGAGTGTCAATTTGCCCCTTGGAACTGAGTTACAAGTTGTAGTGGTTAAAATCTTCCCTATGAAATGAGACCCTCAAATAAAAAGAGCATTACTTCATTAACAGCTACCAGCGCTGCTCTGCAGGCGACCCTGCCAGTCTGCAGTGACAGCAGAGGAGGGTAAAGTTCAGCTCCTCACTGCTGGGCTTTAGTTACATTAAGGGCATCATATGCCTTCAAAGAGGGGGGCAATTATTTATTATCACCCACCCCAAATTCTTCAGTGATATGAAGCTGAAGTCAGATATTCGCCAGCTTCTTGTTCGAATCTTCCTGTTCCACCTTAAATGGAGCAGCAGTTACATTCTTGTGTTTCTGTACTGCTGGATGGGAAAGTTAGCTAGCTAGCTACCAAGATATTAACATACTACTAGCGATATTTATGCTTGTTATGAAGAAAAAGACCATAATACACTGAAACGACATTAAACTAAGATAATACAGTGGTTATCGTAATTTTTAACAGAGAAAATTCTCACATTTGTGGGTTTCTTTGGTCTCTTGTTCAGCCGTCTTGCTGGTTTTTCTTTTTTTCTCATAACTCTGTTTGGAGTCTCTGAAAAGCCTCCGTTTGGAGGGTCATGTAGCTCTAACACCCTACCCCTCTATCTCAACAAGAATCGGGACACCCTATCCCTGGACGTGAACGCACAAAACGGAGGGCTAAGGGCTAAGTGGCAGGGGCGAGAGGTGAAATGGGATTGGGCCTTACAATTAGGGATGCACAATATATTGCACAATAATCGCCGATGCATAGTAATCGTGATGCAATCTTGGTTTTGAAATTCTGATATTGCTGAAGAATGAGCTGTACATTTCTGTAACAACTTTGATGAATCAAGGCACTCACATGACCAAAAAAATGTGTGTGGGTGTGTGTATATATATATATATATACACATACGTATATGTTTATATATATATATATATACACACACACACACATATATAAATATATATATATATATATAGTTGCATCCAAAACTGCAATGCATTCTTTCGTCTACATCATGCAGGCCTATTTATCCGTAAGGCAGTTGCATCCAAAACACGTCTGAATGTGTTACAAAGCAATCCCCACCTAGTATCAAGAACGTATGGGTGAAGAACACAGCAGAATGTGTTTCGGAACCCTTGACTGAGCCCCCGGGCCTGCCCTTACCTCCTCTGGCAGGTTGATGACGAGCCCCTGGCCCGTGTGGCTGGACATACGGGCGCTGAAGTAGTCACTGCAGGATGCAAGAACGGAGCGATGAGCCCGGAAGCTCTGGCTCTCCACCACCACCGTCACATCGCACAGGAGGTCCTTCTGCCGCTGCTCGTCCAGACAGCGGAGAACATGCGAACTGTGCACCGAGGACTGGAATGTGAACACTGAGGTCCTGCAGCTCTCCAGCGACATGCTGAACTACATCTACCAGAGCGACAGAGGTAACATGAAAACACTGTGAGAGTTCTGGACTGAACTGTGACCTCAGACAGGTGGCATTTAAAACACAACCAAAGGCAATATATGTTTATGGTAGATGATTATCCCCACTGTCCCACTGACAGGATTTACAACACGGTACAGACGCTGATGGGAGAACTTTGACATGTCTATGATGTGAATCATAACACATATAAAAATCAGCCAAAGGAAAAGTGTATTTTGTCATTATCGTATGTACACACATGCTCATAATGCGCTGCTGTTGGAAGAAAACCTTGTATCTCCATTTTTGTCCTTTTTCAGTTTTTGACATAATTTGAAAATAGCTGTCGGTCTTTATATTGTGTGTAAATTCCATGAAGAATGGACCAAAAGAAACGGCCCAAAATGACTTGGAAAGACGTCTGGTTCCATTGACTTACATTAAAAGTAAAGTATGTTTTTTCCTTCTCCTGTAAAGTTACCATTTTGGAGATACGAGGTTTTCTTCCAACAACACAACTAACTAAACACATACAATTTTGGCTTCCAACGATTATGAAAACAAGAAAGATGAATACGCCGCACTCCGTTTCACAGGTATGTTGTCGTTTTGCCATGTTTTACAAATCCAGTGCACCCCTTTCCTTAATTTTTCTGTATTTTCAGTTGAATTATATTAAAAATTCGTTAAAAAGACAAGATTTTAAAAGTTTAATAAATGCATGATCCAAATTAATGAGTAATCATGGTAAATAATCATCAGTAAACACGATGGTTCTATATAGAACCATGAACACTCAAAGAACCATGTGCATGCTTAAGGAGAAACATTTCTTCGGACTGACCGAGAATGTGTTGTATGTGGTTCTATACAGCACCAAAAAGCATTCTGCTCATGTTACGATGTCAAGAACCCTTTTTGGTGCTATATAGAACCCATTCAACCCATTCTCCCTCAATCTGAAGAACCATTTCACCATGCAAACAACCATTTAATCATGAAGGGTGTTCATGGTTCTATACAGAACCACTGTCTTCCTTAGAACCCTTGAAGAACCATCTTTTTAAGGAGTGTATATATTATAAATCTTCTCTGAAACACACTTTGCTCACTTTTTAACTGTTATGTTAACCATTTTTAACTGTTTTAAAGCATGATACAGCCGGATACACAATGCTATCTAGAACAGGGTTCGTTCACCACGCAATACTATTAAAAAGATTTCAAAAGAAGTTAAAGGGGTGAAACATGCGCGTCCCTTACCCGTGAGAACCGCTTATCTCCGCCGTGTACAGAGAACTCAACCCAGCCAAGTCATTGCAAAGGCGAGTGTGTGTGTGTGTGTGTGTGTGTGTGAGTGTGTGAGTGTGTGTGTTTGAGTGTGTGTGAGTGTGTCGCAAGCGCGCGCTCTGCTGACTCACGGGCTTCTGCTGATAAAGGATGAGCAAGCACTTTTCCCGTCCTCCCCTTTTCCCCCACACGTCCAACCAGCAGCTCTTTCCAAGGAACTTCTACACACACTCACACATTAACACTCGGTCCGTGGGAGGAGCGGCTCGCTTGGCTTCTCCTCTGTTAGACACACACTAACTTACTTCCCCAAAACGCGTGGAGTTTGAAAAAAACAAACAAACAAAGAAAGACCACCCGTTTTAGTGTCAAAATCTAAATTTCCGTCCCGAACGCTGCTTACATATAAACTGTGAAACTGTCAGGGAAATTCAGGCTCAGACGTCAGATCGTTTTCTCTCGGCTATAATAAAGACTCGATGTACCCGGCTGAGCCCTGAAGCCAGTCGTGCTCGGTCAAGACGAGATTTGACAGTGTTTACTGGGTCTAAACCGAAGGGAGACAATCTCTCCGAAAACTTTGATAGCATATGTTAGGCGGCTTATTCCTCCTTTTTCTTTATCCGTTTCCGTGCGCAGAACTCAGCGTTCGCCGGAAAACGTACGAATCACAGACAAACGTCAGTACTCACCGATCATATCACTCGACTAAACCTCCAAATGTCGCGTTTATTGCCGTATTTCCACACGTAGCCTTTAAAGCTCTGAGCCGTGTCAGAAACAAGGAGGCGCTTGTGTTTCCATCATGTGACCCGAAGCCAAAACTGTTGTGGTCCCGCCCCCTCAAGCACGGTCACTGCTCCGATTGGTCGACGCGCCTGTCGATCTCAGTGACGGGTTTTCCGGCCTGTTTGATTTGCAGCCGTTGAACCGTGTAGTTTTTGTGGGCATGTGAACTTCAGCAGCTCTGACCAGTTCGCTTTGAGGCTGTTTGCGTAAAAATAGACTTTATTACGCGTTTTCTGACGCGTTTTCTGCGTGGTTGTGAAACATTATGGAGTGAAGAAAACACATCTGTGCTCGAACCCTCTGAAGAACCTGCTGTGAAACTGGTTTGAGAGGGTACAGTGGGGTCGTTCTATAGAAACGTCCATTTTTGTGTCCTTAGAGTTTACAGATAACTTCATATTACACTTAAAACAGGTCAGGGTTACAGTGCATTTATATTTCAAAATAAAACTGTTATTTTAACAATTACACCTTCTTGAGGCATCAATTTAGCAATATTGGTTTTTAAATCAATCATATAGAATTCCAAGCACCACAGAAGTGCTTTTAACTGCAATAATCTATATATGACTATCAAATATATGATTTGAATGACAAAGAAAACAAATGCCAAATAAATATTATAAAATATACAATAAAAGTTGTGGTCCCCAGGAGTCGTGTCACTGGCGTTACCGCATAACAAAAACTCTCTTATTTTGAAATAAAAGTCACACTGATGACATCACTTGACTTCCTTTTACCTGTTTTCTGAGGATCTATGAAGAAAAGCACATGGTGAGTCCACTGTGTCTTTCAGTTAGCAGAGATTTTCTCATTTAGCTCATGATTTCATATGAAGACTTTTAGCTGAAGTCACTGGTGTGACCGACTTTATTCTGAGGTAACTGTGAAAAAAAAAAATAGAATACAAATGGGTTAAATTACATATTTTAGTGGATATTCCATGACTGACAACATGTGGTTTCATTTTTCATTAAAAATGTCACTGGTGTTACCTTTCTTATGTTTAACACCAGTGACCACCAGTAACACCAGCGACTCCTATGGGCAGATAAAAAAAGTGGACGTTTCTGTAGAATGAGCCAGTCGGTGCTGAAGTAGCTGGTGTACAGCCAGGGTCTGATGTAAGTATCTCCTATGGCAAGCCCGCTTCTGCAAGACGTAAACACTGTGTGCCAAAATATCACCTGACTGTGAGTCAAATGACCACAGGACAGGCCACATGCCGGCAGTTGTGGTTGAACTACAGAACACTTTTGTCCCTGTTAAGGTAAATTTTACCGACAAATCAGAGCACAGCTTTGCCTGAGCGGCTACAGCACAGGCCTCTTTGTGTTGTCTGCAGTGGCCTAATGAAACTGTGAGGGATGTGTGAGCATGAGACATTGCGTTACGAGCTCTTACACAATCCTAAAATGTGCTGATCTCATTTTGAAACTTAAGTTCCTTATTATTAATTCAATTAAGTAGAAGGTATTCAAGTCTGTTCTCATCTTGCCTGAATTGCTAATTGCTTACTGAGAATGTGTTCAGCACAGGCGCCATATTTATTTACCATGAGCTGATATTGACACTGCAGTTTGACAGTGATCTCTTAAATGGCAAACAAATAATGAGAAAACAGAAGTTGAGCAGTATAAATGAAAATACACCAAATTCCCATTTTTTTCAATACTAGCAATACATGAAAAGAAACAGAAACCTCAGGAACCTGTTTTCATATAAAGGTATAATATAAGAGTTGTGCTGCTTTATACTCTATTTATCCTATTCTACTACTATATATATACACACCCATCAGGCATAACATTATGACCACCTCCTTGTTTCTACACTCATTGTCCATTTTATCAGCTCCACTTACTATATAGGTGCACTTTGTAGTTCTACAGTTACAGACTGTAGTCCATCTGTTTCTCTGATACTTTGTTAGCCCCCTTTTACCCTGTTCTTCAGTGGCCAGGACCCCCATGGACCCTCACAGAGCAGGTACTGTTTGCGTGGTGGATCCTTCTCAGCACTGTAAAACACCTCAGTGTCACTGCTGGACTGAGAATAGTCCACCAACCAAAAATATCCAGCCAACAGCGTCCTGTGGGCAGCGTCCTATGACCACTGATGAAGGACTAGAGGATGACCAACACAAACTGTGCAGCAGCAGATGAGCTATCGTCTCTGACTCTACATCTACAAGGTGGGTTGACAAGGTAGGAGTGTCTAATAGAGTGGACAGTGAGTGGACACAGTGTTTAAAAACTCCAGCAGCACTGCTGTGTCTGATCCACTCAGACCAGTGCAACACACACTAACACACCACCACCACGTCAGTGTCACTGCAGTGCAGAAAATGATCCACCATCCAAATAGTACCTGCTCTGTGAGGGTCCATAGGGGTCCTGACCACTGAAGAACAGGGTAAAAGGGGGCTAACAAAGTATCAGAGAAACAGATGGACTACAGTCTGTAACTGTAGAACTACAAAGTGCACCTATATAGAAAGTGGAGCTGATAAAATGGACAATGAGCGTAGAAACAAGGAGGTGGTCATAATGTTTTGACTGATCAGTGCGTATCGATATCGCTGTTGTCGGTAAAAACCCTCATATCTCCAAAATGGTAACTTCACAGGAGAAGGGAAAAAACCTACTTTACCTTTAATGTAAGTCAATGGAACCAGACGTTTTTCCAAGTCATTTTGGGCTGTTTCTTTTGGCCCATTCTTCACGAAATTTACATACATTGTAAAGGGCAACAGGTATTTTCAAATGATGTCAAAAACTGAAAAACGGCAAAAATGGAGATGCAAGGTTTTCTTATATATAATATATATAGTTGCTCATGAAAGAAAACCTCCTACCTCAAAACTTAATAGAATGAAACATGTACTTTTTTAATGTAACAAGATTTTATTCCATGTCATTTTAGACCATTTTGACTGGTCTTTCATCACAAAATGTTCACACATTGTAAAGGTCAGTTGGGGTTTTAAACAAAAAGGAGTTCTGAGGTTATAAAAGCCACAATATGTGTGTACTCATCTAAACCATGGCTGTCAACTGTTCTGCTTGCAGACTCAATTTAATTTACTTGTTTACTTGGTGTGCAACCCTGCCGCAGTCTGTTATTACTGGTGCAGAGATGTGCAACCTGTTACTTTATATTTTATGGTACACTTGTAGTCATTCGGTATAATTGCCTATATACACAACACACAAACCCCAAGCCCACATGGGAATCAAAATCAGAAATCCTCCGGCCTCCAGGGCGAACACCTTAACCACTGATCCTCATTTGACTACAACTGCTGCCTGTTCATTTGATAGCACTGCACACCTTTATTCCTGTAACACAGTTGTTCCCAATCCTGGTCCAATCAGAGTAACCTCTGCCCTGCACTTTGTAAGTGTTTCCCCAGCTCCGAACACACCTGATCCAACTAATGAGCTCATTAACCAGCCCTTCATGCCTTGAAGTGGGTGTGCTGGGAGCAGGGAAAGCAGTACAATGCAGGGCAGGAGGTTCTCCAGGACCCGGGTTGGGAGTATACCCATGAAAAGTGTCAAGAATTGGTATTTGCTATTTGCAAATCCTCAGTGGTTGCCTACGGTTCATGAAGGGTTGTGTGCCATCTGTGTAACCAGGTCAAAGATCTGTAATAAAGGTCATTACAAATAGAACACCACACCATATCTGACCTGAAGCACAAACATAAGCCCATGAAGATAACACTTAAAAAATAAACTGAATTTTGTTTACAGTGGTGCAGTGGCTAACGGTCATATCAAGAACATCAGGGTTGCAAATCTTGTTTGGGCCAGACATTTTAAGTGCTAGAGAGCCACACAGTATCCCTCTGTTTACATAATAAAAGTTCAGTATGCTGAAAACTGATATAATTGTTTCATTGTTTATTTTTACTAATATATCCCTGTCCTTCCACTATACTAACCTAATCCTCAAATGATGACATAAATGTTCACTTTTTGGGTTTTAGTGTTTTAAAAACGTGTAGGACTCTTAAACATGTACAGCATTTTTACAGTGTAAATCTTCATCCTACCCCGATGTTAAGAAGGTTACTAAAAAAAACGTTCCCTTTCTATCCCTTGTGGGACAGGTCAAGGGTCAGGAGGAGCCCTGTCTCTTCTGATTGGTCACACGCAGACTGGCCAGCTGCTGAGTGCGTTCCGTATAAACCGTGACCAGCGTTCGGTTCTCCTCCGTCAGCAGACGGAACTCTTCCTCCAGCCGAGCGATCTCCAGTGTCACCCTCTCGTCTTCCGCCAGCTCTGCTATCAGCTCCCTTCTAGAGTGAGCACACAAGCACAAAGCAAATCTCATCCTCTCATTCTCTTAAAAAATGATCAAAAACTGAGTTTCCCAAAACCAAAATTGTGTAAACAATCTTGTGATATCCATCATATGAATCACTGGGTCCTTCCCGTTTTTAAAAAAAGAAAAAATTCCAAGGCCCATCGTTCTGTATAGATTTAGATTAGCCAGTTGGCAAACACTGGCACATTTAACTTTGAGGAGATATGAGGTACAGTAGATATAAAAAGTAAACACCCCTGTAAAAATGGCTGGTTTTTGTGATAAAGATAAACTTTTTTCACCTTTAATGTTAAATTGTGACCTCTAAATTAAATCTGAGGCACTTAGGATAAAAAAAAAAAGAAGAGAAAAAAAAAAAAGAGAAAACTTTCAATAACCTGGTCACGTAAATGTGCACATCTTTTTATGATTGGGGATGTGGCTGGGTTCAGAATCAGCCAATCGCATTCAAACCCATGTTAAATAGTAGCTAGTATACACCTACCATCAATGTAAGTAACACATTAACCATAAATGAAGTTCATCTGTTCCTATAGGACTTTCCTTACACCTTCCTGGTTGCATCATATTGCAAAAGCCATGGTTCACAAAGAGCTTACAAAGCATGAGCAGGATCTCATTGAGAAAAGGTATCGATCGGGAGAGGGATACAAATGAATTTCCAAGGCATTAGATATACCACGACAAAAATGACATGATCGAGAACAGGACATCCCTCCAAAACTGATGAGAAGACAAGGAGAAAGCTGGCTGCTGAGGGAGGCTGCTGAGAGGCCTATGGCAACGTTAAAGAAGCTGTACTAATTTCTGGGAAGTACTGGTTGCTCCCTAAATGTGACAGCAACCTTCCTTGTTCTTCATATGTCTAGGTCATGTGGTAGGGTGTCAAAACAGAAGGAAGCATTTTCTCATAAAAAAACATCCAAGCCCTGCTTAATTTTGCATGAAGATACAGACAGTCTCCCCAAACAAGATGAAAAACTGTGTTATAGTCTGATGAGATCAAAGTTGGAACCTTTTGGCTTGTTTGGTGCATAATTAACACAGCACATCATCAAAAGACCACCACAGCTATGGCGAAGCATGGTGGTGGCAGTATTATGCTTTGAGGCTTTTCTGCTTTTCTTCAGCTGGAACTGGGGCTTTATTCAAGGCGGGTGCAATCATGAATAGTGGCTGTTTTTGGTGCAAAAACCTAGAAATCTGAAGATGAAAGGGAATTTCACCTTTCGGCACAACAGCAACCCACAGCATACATTCAAATCAACAAAGGAATGACTTCATCAAAAGAGCAACATTTTGGAATGCCCCAGCCAGAGCCCTGACCTGAGCTCAATCTGTGCTGTTCCCTGAAGAGAGCTGTGCTCAGGCGATGTCCTCGCAATTTGACAAACGTAGAATGTTTTTTTCAAGGAAGTCAAGAAATGCCAAGCTGATACACACCCAAAAAGACTGTGCTATAATAAAACCAAAACATCCTTCAACAAAATATGAGTTTAGGGGTGTGCACACTTATGCAACCAGGTAATGGTATGTTCTTAATTTTTCTTATTTTTACCCTAAAATGTTTCAGATTGTTTTTCACTTTATCTTCCAGATGGCAATTTCACATTAATGGTGAAAAAAAACAAGTTCTGATATGATTCATCTTAGTTTAATTACATCACAGAAACCTGCCATTTTCACAGGGGTGTGTAGACTTTTTATATTCACCGTGTGACAAAGCAGAAAACTATGAGAACTTGGGGAGGAGTTCTGGGCGGGTTCTACTTGAAGCTAGAAGGCCAAACCACCCGTCAGTGAAGAGACGCAGGGCTGAGAAATAGGGAGGAGACAGGGTGGTGGGGTGCACAAACTTTGTGACGGGAAATAGGAACATTCAATTAGATTTTCAGTATGTATTATTAGGTTTCGTCACGTGTTTCTACAGAGCTCTGATTACGCACTCGATCAGAGGAAATACAAGTCTTATTTCAAAACAAAAGACTGCAAAGCAGCATGTCTGTGCAAAACAAATCTTATACATCTTATAAAACACTGCGAATCAGCTGTAAACCATACAAAAACTGAAAAAAAACTAATTAAATGCCTCATATAAAACCTTATAAAGCATATATTAAAGTGGGGCCTTTTACAGCCCTGTTACAGATGTTACTACACTGTTTTGGGATGTTCATTTTGATATATATTCAATTTTTCAATGCTGTATTTTTACACTCTACACCATATTTATTGAAGCTATTCGACAAATGCAATTGTCTACGTAGAATAACCACCGTCTTGTTTACAACAAGCTCTTTGTCTTGCTAACCTAACTGCTTTTTAGCTGAGGGAAAACACGATAGGCTGAAACACAAGCTGACCCCATAATCTCAAAAGCAAAAATATGGTTTATTATTACTGAGGAAATCCATAACTATATCATTCCCCTAGACGTTGTCTTGTAGTGTAACTGGCTGTGCTGTCTAATGTTCCAGCAGCTCATGCTCGTGTAAACAAAGCAGTGTGCTGTGACCCCACATGGCACACAGCCAGTCAGTAAAGCTCCTTGGCCTTTGGACCAACTGTTTGAGCAGCGCGTAAAGGGTGGGTGCAACATTGTGAGGCTTCCAGTAACTCTGGTTTACCGTGAAAAGTTTGGAACAAGAGGCGTTAATTCTTTTTTGAGGAAACTCTTAATCAGTGAAACAAAGCAGTTCCCTCAGCATTGTGTGAATGGGCTGTGATCGGGTTTACCAGCAGTTATAGCCGTGTGGTAATTTAAGACCTTGTTTGAAACCTCACACATCTACATCACAGGATATTCCAAATTTGGCAGGCAAAAAAAAATAAATAAATAAATAAAATAAGAAGAAGCACTTGTGCCATTTTTCTCCATGTGAAAGCAAGAAAGAGGGAAATGTGTTGGGGAAATTCACACTGACTGCAGTGTCAGGTGAGTTCACACAAAAGAGAGAACTACGTGAACATTTACGTGACTGGACGACACAAAGGATTCTTCACTGAACTAACTGGCTGTTTCTATCCAGTGTGTATTGGGAACAAACGTCGTAAAGTACCGCGATGCTTGCTTGAACGATTACTTTGGATATGCTGCAATACTGCCTAAACGTTAAAGGCAACTAAGGCAGTTTTCTAAGCGCACTTCTCCTGCGTGACAAAGAAAAATCCAAGTGTTGCATGCCACAATACAGTATGTAAGAGTTTGTCATGATTACACAGGCCTATTTTTAACCAGCAGAGCATGACTTGTAAGGAAATCCCCCTTGTCCGTCAAAGAGGAATGCGTCCTAAGGAAGAGCACCAGACAAAAGCTGCAGTGTTGCGTCACGCCGAAGAATGGCTGAATTTAACTTTAAGAGAAGCTGATATTATTTACCTTCGTTGTTCCCTTATGAAACTGCATCATAGAAGGTTATAAAGTTTGAGCACTGCACAGCTTTATACTGCTACACATGTATATGTGTATGTGTGTGTCAGCTTTCCACAGATGTTCCATCCAGCTATTTTTAGACTTACTTTCTGTCTTCCAGCAGAGCAATTTCTGTTTTAACCTGATGAAACTCTCTGGCCATTTTGCAGTGGTCTCTGTAGACCTGGACGGACTCCTTCAGAGACTGGCATGGCAGCACAGGCTGTGGGAATAAAGGATAAAGAAGATCGACAGGGGTTCTAAATCTGGGGGGAAATATAGCGAGCCTCAAAACTACTGGCAGTTATGGTGAAGATGATGAATAAACATTTTCAGCATTAAATCAAGCTGATAAACAAAGACACTTAGCCTTTTTTCCATCTTTACCCGTGGTATCATCTTTAGAGGGAAGTAGATGTTCATGTAGATTAAATTTGCTGTTTACTGACCCTGAGACATAGTTTCAGACGCTGTGTTATGTAACTTGGCTGCTATTCATCCTAGTAGTCTCTGACTGCTAACCTGTTCTGTGACTTCTGCCCAGTGTTCAAACTTCTGTGTACAGCTTTGCACCAAAGCAGGACTGAACAATTCCCGAGCAAGCCCGGAGGTAAAAGGAAAAACTCCCAGAGATGACCACTTTCCATGATATCCACTGTTTCCAGTGCTTACAGAAGCAGCAGTAACGTGTAGGAAACTGTTGGCGAAACGTTTGGCTTCATCTGAAACAGAACTTCTGCTTTCGAGATGACTCACGGCGAACTCCTCCAAAATATCGCTTCAACAACAGACTTCTGCTTTATTCTCATTATTTAATTCAGAGCCTCATGAGCCTCTTTCTCGTACGATTGTTTTTTTTTTAACCAACCTGATAATCATACAGTCATCGTTACTGCCTTTCCTGCCGAAAGAAGAGGGTATGACAAAGTGTGGTCTGTTCAGTTAGCATGAGTAGACACGTTCTGGTTGGGCTGTGAAACTACTGTGGTTGAACAAATTCCCTTTAAGCTTGGCTGTAGGTTTTCTGTGGACGGCTGAACCTTCCAGTGTCTGTGCTTTCAGAGAAAAGAAGAGTAGATGAGAGTTATATATAGATACTTCTTTTTTCGAGGTGCTGAAGACCTGACGATATTGAATGTGATACATTTGTTATTGCAGATAAAGTTCTGGTGGAAGTTTGAAGCCCAGTTTTTTTTTTTTTTTAGACATGTGAATTAGAGTATTTTTTCCTCTATGTGAAATGTCAGTATTGGCCAGTTCACTTTGGAAAAAGTCTTGATTATACCTCTGAATATAGACTTCCTCTTAGATCCTGATATTGACCTTGTATGAGGAAGCACAAAACTGTCAGCAAAGTGGAACAACAACTGGTAGAACCAGCCCCAGCTCTCTGGATAGAAACCAAACTGGCATTACTGCCCTCTTGTGTTTAAATCGTAATACTGTAATGACTCATATGCGTTCATTTTTGTCAGTTCTATATGGGTCCCTTTTACTGGCATACTAGTTCTATATATAAGAAAAACAAATGCGCACAATATTCTATCTATATATAATGCAGCAAATGCTTCGGACATCTTTATCAGCCTTTTACGACTCCCTTTCCACTCCGATTTAACAAGCTAGTTTATCCGGGAAGCAGTTATTGCATCCCGTTGCACAAGCCAGCGACTCACGATTGCTATTCCTGGTGTCCAGTTCTATCATTAGCCCCATGCGTTTATCCTTTCTTCTACTTTTCCACACACCTGTTACTGTGTGACCTCAAAGCTCTCATCAAGCGAACCCACAGCCTCCAAACATGACAGAAATGTTGTTTACATCCATTTGCCGCTGTGTGTCCATAAGAACTGCAGAGTAACATTACCTGCAGGCGCTGCTCAAGGTCGGGGAATGATGGGAACTGTTCCTCAGCATCTTTCAACTCTGAAGAAGAAAAGAGAGAAGGTCAGCGTCACTGGCGTGAAGAGGCAGTACAGGAGGCGTGACCTGTGAGTCCTGTACTAAACACTGAATTGCACAGCCTTCTTACTGACCTGGGTCATAACATGATATGTGCTCTTACGATAAAATACTCATGATAAGCTCGTTGAAGTATATGCTGAGCATTATTAATACTTAAAACACTCAACTGCATGTTTTATTAAAAATTAGGTTTCACTGAAATTCCCAAGCAGTAAACACTAATCAGCCATAACATTCTGACCACCTCCTTGTTTCTGCACTCACTGCCCATCTTATCAGCTCCACTAACCATAAAGGAGCACTTTGTAGTTCTACAGTTACAGACTGTAGTCCATCTGTTTCTCTGCATACTGTTACCCAGTTCTTCAGTGGTCAGGACCCCCACAGGACCACCACAGAGCTTTTATTTGGGTGGTGGATCATTCTCAGCACTGCAGTAACACTGATGTGGTGGTGGTGTGTTAGTGTGTGTTGCGCTGGTATGAGTGGATCAGCCACAGCAGTGCTGCTGGAGTTTTTAAACACCTCAGTGTCACTGCTGGACTGAGAATAGTCCACCAACCAAAAATGTTTGAATATTCTTGACTCCTGAGATGCTGTTTTTAAATAATTTTAAGGGTTTGACCTAAAATGCATATTTGTCATGGCTGTGAGATACACAGAGGGCGCTGTTAGGTCAAATAATCCCCAAAGAAAACTTGTTAATTAACAAATTAGCAAATTAGCAACTATTTTTTCATCATCAATATTATATATAAAAACCTATTATTTATAGAGGACACATATAGGGTCACTGGTCCTTTTGAACAGAAAATACAGTGAGTGCGTTTACATGCACTCAATAATCTGATCATAATTTCTGCGGTTATCCGATTATTCAAACGGTCATGTGAACACCATACTCCAATCTAGAAATCTGATTAAGAAATCTGATAAAGAGAGCTGGATTTTAGCTCAGTAATCAGATTTCTCAGTGCATGTAAACTCTTACTCTGATTTCTATCGGATTTCTCAGTCTGCGCATGCGAGAGAACAGACGGTGGATGTCGTGAGACGCAGCAAAACACTGTTGGAGCGACGCTGAAACCAAACACGAAATAAAGGATTTAAATATTCTTCATCTTCTAGATGATGTATGTTCATATTCTCAGTTTGAGTTCTATGTTACGTTTACGTCACGTCTTCTTCTGTGAGTTTACTGGCTGGTTGCAAAGCAGAACCTGGAATTTCCCCATTACTCAACCTGATTACTCAAGTGCATATAAACTTGTTGATCTGATTACTGACAAAATCTGATTTTCTGCAGTTATTGGATTATTAAGTACATGTAAACAAACTCAATGTCTAGGTTTGCATTAGGCGCTGCCAATTCTGGTTAATATGACCACCACTGTGAAGAAATGAGCTGCTAAGTTTCTTTACAATTAACCATTTCACATCAGAACGGTGTGAATGACTCTGTTTACATCTGAACCGTTGACTTCTGCAGATGTTTTGATTTTTTTTTTTTTATGTCACTACTATTTAACCCAAGAAAACAAAATACAATGACACATACACCGATCAGGCATAACATTATGACCACCTCCTTGTTTCTACGCTCATTGTCCATCTTATCAGCTCCACTTACTATATAGGTGCACTTTGTAGTTCTACAGTTACAGACTGTAGTCCATCTGTTTCTCTGATACTTTGTTAGCCCCCTTTTACCCTGTTCTTCAGTGGTCAGGACCCCCATGGACCCTCACAGAGCAGGTACTATTTGGGTAGTGGATCATTCTCAGCACTGCAGTAACACTGATGTGGTGGTGGTGTGTTAGTGTGTGCTGCGCTGGTACGAGTGGATCAGACACAGCAGTGCTGCTGGAGTTTTTAAAAACCTCAGTGTCGCTGCTGGACTGAGAATAGTCCACCAACCAAAAATATCCAGCCAACAGCGTCCTGTGGGCAGCGTCCTGTGACCACTGATGAAGGACTAGAGCATGACCAACACAAACTGTGCAGCAGCAGATGAGCTATCGTCTCTGACTTTACATCTACAAGGTGGACTGACAAGGTAGGAGTGTCTAATAGAGTGGACAGTGAGTGGACACAGTGTTTAAAAACTCCAGCAGCACTGCTGTGTCTGATCCAGCACAACACACACTAACACACCACCACCAAATCAGTGTTACTGCAGTGCTGAGAATGATCCACCACCCAAATAGTACCTGCTCTGTGAGGGTCCTTGGGGGTCCTGACCATTGAAGAACAGGGTAAAAGTGGGCTAACAAAGTATGCAGAGAAACAGATGGACTACAGTCTGTAACTGTAGAACTACAAAGTGCACCTATATAGTAAGTGGAGCTGATAAAATGGACAATGAGCGTAGAAACAAGGAGGTGGTCATAATGTTATGCCTGATCGGTGTATCATGAAGATGTTGTGTTATATTCATTTGATATTTTGCATAAGTGCAGCGACTCCTGAAGCATCCTACTGTGCATACATACAATATTATCTGCTAATGACTCTGAACCCTCTGAACCATCACCATCTTGGTAGAAACTGCAAGACTGTTCTCAGATCAGTGCAAAGGCAAACGTCTGCCATCACCTCTTAGCCTGGTCCATATGCACTAATGCTCGGGAGGACAGATCGAGGATTTAGCGTCTCCCAGATTCTTCAGAACAACTTGTCTTTAACGAGAGCTCTGACAGATGAGTTGTCTACACTCGCTGCGACCATGCCAGCTATGTCCATACAGAGCTGGTGTACACATGTCGGGAATTCTCTGATGCAATCAGCTAAAAACAGGGGTGTGGTCATGCATCAGCCACGAGGCCTGTTATAAACAAGACATATGTGAGCAGAATTTGCCTATAGCTTTCAGCCTCGAGCTGATGTAGAGCTTCAGCTTCTCATTGGAAAACATGAGGTAGTCCCAGAAGCAGATCCTTTAGGTTCTTGCTTTGCTATTGTGGAGGAATTTCGGCATTAAAATTTGGAAATAAACAAATGCGAAAGACTCTACAAACCTCAGTTCATCCAAAACTGCTGGAGTGCGTATCACATCCAGTCTCAGCCGGATTCAGTGGCTACCAGAGTCTTCATGTGTTAGTTTCACAATTCCCCAGCGTATCTCACTCAGCTTCTTTAGGCTCTCATGTCTTCTGAGACTGGAAAATCAGGAATTCTCTACTTCTATCACTCTCTGACTTCCATTTCACTTATTAAAACCCAACACTATTCTCATTCCTCTACCTCGTAGCACGCTTTACATTTATTTGTCTCATTTGTGGTAAAGTAGCCTTGGGTTTGAGGAAGATGCCATATTAATAAGCCACATCACTGCTGTTATATGAAAATTTAATTTTTTTTCCTTTTGAAAACTCTGAGTTTCCTCCTCCTGCTCTTAGGGAGTGTTTCCTTGCCACTGTCGCCGTTGGCGACACTCATGGGGGCTCGGAGCCGGGTTTTTTCTTTAAAGGCTGTTTTGGGACAACATCTGTTGTAAAAAGCGCTCTATAAATAAACTTAGACTTGACTTGATTCTCAAAAATGTTTTAAGAAAGAAAATCTTATGTGTTTTTTTCCATAAACTTCATAAACCATTACCTTCTTAACTTTCTCACACGACTCATACAAAGAAGCGATATTCTTTAAAAACCATGGGCCTCATTCACCAACACTGATCTAGTTTGTTCTTAAATGTGTTCTTGAGAAAGATCCTGAGAAAAAGTCTACGTCAGATTCATGACGTGTTCCTTAACCCCAGAACTGCTCGCATGTGTAGATTCTGTTCTCACCTAAGAACAAATCCCAAATAAGAAAACATGTGAATGTCAGAGTCTTCTGTGGATTTTATGAAGACATTTCTTCTTAAGAACGGTTGGTGAAGAAGGTCCTATGTTCTTGAATATTTTCCTAACCTGACAGCAGCCTCACACTTCTTAAACTGTACGAGTTGATGAGCGAAACCTCTAAAACTGAGACTTTTCTTGCTGGGCTCAACACTGAGCAGATTAAACTGAATAACCTGTAAACAGAAACTACAATAGACTCACATTCACAATGAGTCTCAGGTCTTTTATGGTACGACATTCCGCCCAAAGGAAATGTTTGACCACTTATTAGTTTTCTACAACTTCTTGACGAACACTGGGCCTGATTCACCAACCGATCACCTTTATTTATTTATTTATTTACTTATTTATTTATTTATCTCTCCCTCCCTCTTTATTTCTTTCTCTTTCTCTTCATTTTTCTTTCTTTCTTTTTTCTCGCTCAATCTTCATTTTTCTTTCTTTCTCTCCTTTTTTATTCCTCTATTTCTCTCTCTTTCTTTCTCATTATTTCTTTCTTTCTCATTATTTCTTTCTTTCTTTATTTATTTCTTTTATCTCTTTTCCTCTCTCTCTTTCTTCCTTTCTGTTCTTTCATTTCTCTCTTTTTTCTTTCTTTCTTCTTTCTTTCTGGCTCACTCTTCATTTTTCTTTCTTTCTTTATTTTCTTTCTTTCTGGCTCACTCTTCATTTTTCTTTCTTTCTCTCTTTCTGTCTTCCTCTATTTCTCTCTCTTTGTTTCTCTCCCTCTCTTTTCCTCTGTCTCTTTCTTCCATCCTGTCCTTTCATTTCTCTCTCTTGCTGTCTCTCTCTTTCTCTCTCTCTCTCTTTTTCTAGGGTTCTTTCTTTCTTTCTTTCTTTATTCTACACACACTCAAGAGCACAGAAGTGTATTTTAAGAACTCGTCATGAATCTGATGTAGACTTTTTCTCAGGAACACATTTAAGAAAAAACGTATGAAGATGTTGGGAAATGAGGCCCAACCTTATGAACTTCTCAGTGTTTGTCTTAAGATCCTTCGCAAGTTTTTCTTAGGAAAGTTTTCATGAATCCGGTCCCTGATGCCCTTACATTATGTGAAACCTTCATGAAGAATCGACCAACACAAATGAGCCAGAATGACTTCAATGACATTAACTTTGAACACAGAACTTACTTCTTCTTCTGAAACGTTACCATTTTGAAGATAAAAGCTTTTATTGGGGCTGAATTGTATTTTCAGTTACGATTTTGCCGTTGACAGTACCTCATTCAGTTTCACAATGACGTTCTAGTTTCCTCTTGTGTTATAAATCCAGCGCACACTTTCTTTTATTGTTTTTCAGCTGAACTATATTTAAAGTTCATGGAAACCCACTCTTAGCTCAATAAATGCATCATGTTTCCAAAGTCAATGAGTAATAGTGTTAAACAATCGTGATCTCGGTATCGACCAAAAGATATGGTTATAAGTTTTTGTCCTAATGGCGCAGCCCTGGCTGTTATGACAGCGTCAGTATTAATATATCACTATTGCTTGTGGAAAAGACAATGCAAGCATTACATTAACACATTTTCAGGCCCAATGCTATTTCTTACTTTTCCTCTACCCCTTGTTTTTGAGTGTGACTTCACCCCTATGAAATGGGACCCTTAATTATAAAAGAGCATTACTTCATTAACAGCTACTAGCGCTGCTCTGCAGGCAACACTGCCAGTCTGCAGTGACAGCAGAGGAGGGTAAAGTTCAGCTCCTCACTGCTGGGCTTTAGTTACATTTAGGGCATCATATGCTTTCAAAGAAGGGGGCAATTATTTATTATCACCCACCCCTTCACTGATACGAAGCTGAAGTCAGATATTCACCAGCTTCTTGTTCGAATTTTCCCGTTCCACCTTAAATGGTGCAGCAGTTCTGATGCCTGAGGCAGCAGAATGTAACTGCTGCACTATTTAAGGTGGAACGGGAAATTTAGCTAGCTAGCTCCCGAGACATCGGCAAACTATTAGTGATTTCTTTTATGCTTGTTATGAAGAAAAAGACCATAATACACTGAAACGACATTAAACTAAGATAATACAGTGGTTATCGTAATTTTTAACAGAGAAAATTCTCACATTTGTGGGTTTCTTTGGTCTCTTTCTCAGCCGTCTTGCCAGTTTTACCTTTTTCTCTCATAACTCTCTGTTTGGAGTCTCTAAAAACCTCCGTTTGGAGGGTCATGTAGCCCCAACACTTCGCCCTACCCCTCTATCTCATCAACAATCGGGACACCCTACCCCTAGTCATGAACAGGCAAAACAGAGGGGTAGGGCTGAGTGGTAGGGGCGAGGGGTGAAATGGGATTGGGCCTAAATAATAAGCAAGACAAAGCAACAGAAGGACACAACCCAGCCACTCATTACAGACCAATAACTGGATCTCACCTAACCTGAGTGGCAAAGCAGAGCTAAGTGACACTCAGTACACATTTGCCTGATTGCTGTGTTTGCACACCTCTCTTCTGGGACAGAGGGAGGCAGAGCAGCGAGGCAGAGCAGGGAGGCAGTGGCAGTGGTGGGTGAAGTGTTAAATGCTTTTAAATATAGGCCTGTGTTCTAAAAGCAAATGAGTGAATCACACAGCAGTGAGGTATTAAAGAGGAAACCTGACGCTGGGCTGGCCGCGCTGCAGCTGCCGTCCAAACATTCGCCCGAATAGCTGTAAAACACTTTGACAGCACTGTTGACTGCGTGTCTAGGTAGATACTTTGTTTTTAAGATGCCAGAGATCTACCGAAATAGAGGGAGCACCTGTTTAACCGAAAAAGAATGACAAAAGTTAAAAACTGATCCGGCGTGAGTGAGAAGGGGCTCGTGGTGGGTTTTGCTGGTTGCCGTTTTGGTGGGAGGCATGCAGTGTATGCCATCACTGAGGATAGTGGGGTGGGGTGGGGTGGGGTATGGCCAGGCAGGGAGGGGGCTGAACCCTTTTTAGTACCTAAAGCATAGCAGTTAAGTAACACCTTCAACGCAAAACCCCCAAAAAATTCAGTTTTTTGAACAAGGTGACCGACCTGAGGGGTCATCGAGGCTGAAGGAGATTCTGACTTCAGGTTTGTCGGCGGTCACTCGTCTTGTTGAGGTGATCATTTATCCCTGGAAGGGGGGAGACACGGATGAACAGACGCAGAGGGCACAAAAGCATGTTTCCTTTAATACACAGCTGTAATGTGAGATCATTCACCTCTCAGGGGCTATGACTGGATTTCATCATGTGCCCAAAGCTGCATCAGGGATTAAACAATTAGAGGAGCAGCCTCTCCGTGCCAGAGAGTGAGGTCACACTTCTCTGGGACTGGTTAGTGTCTTTGCACTGACCAAAGCATTTTATATAACCAAAACCAAATGCAATCATTTATGCAATAGAGATGAAATTCGTCTGGGTGGGATGGACTATGCTGAACCACTTAATGCAGCCCACATAGCCTGAATATGACTCTCCCTATATTAAACCAAGTATACCTTATAAAGCACACAGTAATGGATTAAGACTAAAACAAACACTTTTAGCAGGATATATTAGTCTGTTCAGATGAAATGAGACTTACCTGACAACTGAAGCGTATTTCTGAGAAACTCCTTCTAAAGAAGAGGTTAAAGCTGAAGACGGACTTCTTCCACAGGAGCCCAGCGCAGCTGAGAGCTGTCCAAAGCGCCACCGTCACTGGGTTAGCGGGTTTAGCTAATGTTGGCTAGCTTTGCCTGTCTGAAAGTGGACAAAGGAGTCATATCGGCAGCTCTTCAGCAGCACCGTGTGCGTGGTGTGTGAGAGAGTTTGTGAGAGTGTGTGAGAGTGTGTGTGAGAGAGTGTGAGAGTGTGTGTGAGAGTGAGTGTGTGCTGTGCTGTGCTGGGAGTCCCTCAGATGCCGCCACTGACACACACGACTCGAGCGGGTGACTTTAGAGGAGAAAAATGTCCGCTGTTCCAATCAGAGCCGAGCAGCGCAGACGGTCAGCAGAGACCCAGGAGTTCAGAAATCAGGGTCCGTCACTGGGATTGAGCAACGGCTCTGTCTTTCTTTCTTTTTCTTTCTTTCTTTCTTTCTTCCTTCCTTTCTTTTTCTCTCTCTCTTTCTTTCTTTACTTTCTTCATTTTTTCTTTCTTTCCATTTTTCTCTCTCTTTCTGTCTCTTTTCTTTCTTTCTTTCTTTCTTTTTCTCTCTCTTTCTTTCTTTACTTTCTTCATTTTTTCTTTCTTTCCATTTTTCTCTCTCTTTCTGTCTCTCTTTTCTTTCTGTCTTTCTCTCTTTCTCTCTCTCTCTCTCTCTCTCTTTCTTTCTTTACTTTCTTCATTTTTTCTTTCTTTCCATTTTTCTCTCTCTTTCTGTCTCTTTTCTTTCATTTCTTTCTTTCTTTCTTTTTTCTTTCTTTCCATTTTCTCTCTTTCTGCCTCTTTTCTTTCTTTCTTTCTTTCCATTTTTCTCTCTCTTTCTGTCTCTCTTTTCTTTCTTTCTTTCTTTCTTTCTTTTTTCTCTCTTTCTTTACTTTCTTCATTTTTTCTTTCCATTTTTCTCTCTCTTTTTGTCTCTTTTTTCTTTTTTTCTTTCTTTTTTCTTTCCATTTTCTCTCTTTTCTTTCTTCATTTCTTCCTTTCTTTCTTTCTTTCTTTCTTTCTTTCTTTGCATTTTCTCTCTCTTTCTGTCTCTCTTTTCTTTCTTTGTTCATTCTTTCAATTTCTCTCTCTCTCTCTCTCTCTCTCTCTCTCTCTCTAAATGAATGAATTATCCAGAGATGTTGAAAAATCAGTCGAATGACTATCGATACTCTGTAAATCATGATAAATGCATTACCTTATTTTTTGTTCACTAATTTGTTCAGATAACCAAAATAAAGACAGTAACACAGTAACAACTGTTCATTATATAATCCTGTGAGTCCCACAGATGGAAAAGTGTTTTGCCCAAAAAGCTTCCCAGCATCCTCAGCAGTTGTGTCGGTTTCTGTTCACTCTTATTTTTCTACTTTATGAATATAATTCCCTTTGCAAATGTTATTTTTGTGTCACATCATACTCACATTAAATTTGAAGTTTGCAAGCATTTTACATGTGTTTGTTCTTCTCATCATGATGGTGTTTTGTGTTTAGGTTTACCAGCTCAGTCTGGAACCATTAATGCCAACAGAATAGCAAATATGCATTAATCCATTAGAGATCTTAGAAATGAATGAGACTGTTTTTTTAAGCCATTCACTCTTGTAAAAGTAGAGCCCTGCCAGCTCAATGGAAACCATTTATAAGGATTAGGCTGTTTGACTTGACTTGCTGCAGGAGTGTAGATCACTGAACATTAAAAAGCATTTATAACTCATATATAAAGTTAGTTCAATTTGAACCTGTTAATTACTGCTTCGAGGCTATAAGTTTGCTATATATATATATATATATATATATATATATATATATATATATATATATATATTGCTTTATTAAAGGATTCATACAGTAACATAACTTACAACAACCAACAGCCAGGGGTGCTTACACGTTAAATAAATCATAATCAACATATTATTCCAAAGTCCTTTTTGCTTTCTTGTTTTTTTATATTTTTGTGCCATATTCCTTAAGCTCACGGCGGAAATGTGTAAAGTTTGGCTTGTAATCAGACCATCTCTTCTTACGTAAATGATATTTACCCATAATAATTAAGTATTGTACAAAAAAAGTACTTTAACATCTAATCTGTCCATAAAAAAATAGATAATAAACATCCACTGTGACACAGTGTCCAGTCTTTCTTCTTACAAAGTTTTCCACATCAGTCCAAAACACTTTAGTATGAGTATGTTGGCATAACAGATGGATAATTGTCTGTGCTTTATTCCAGTATATGTTCCCAAATACAAAAGACCAATATGGAGTTGATGTGGAGGTGGTTGAGACCCACAGATATCTGGGTGTGCAGTTGGACAACAAGCTGGACTGGAGCTGTAACACTCTTGTGGTGTACAAGAGAGGCCAAAGCCATCTCCACTTCCTAGGGAGGCTCAGGTCTTTTGGTGTGAGCACTAAGCTCCTATGGTCATTCTACCAGTCTGCTGTAGCTGAGTGCTTTACTCTATGCTGTTGTGTTCTGGAGCAGCAGCACCAACAACAGTGCTCTGAACAAAATAAACACACTTATTAAGAAGGCTGGCTCTGTTGTTGGAGCCAAGCTGGACTCTCTGGAGGTTGTGGCAGAACAGAGGATGCTCAACAATCTGTTAGCCATGTTGGACAACTCCTCACACTCCCTGCTTGCTACACTGGATAAACAGAGAAGCTCATTCAGGTCAGACTGTTACAGCTGCGCTGTGTTAAAGAGGCTGTGTGAGATCTTTCTTACCCACTGATATACGGCTCTACAGCGGGTCTCCTTACTGCAGAGACGGTACTGATCTCCTGCTGTCTGAACTGAGCTGAACCTCATCACTATATCACCTCTCTTGTTAATACACACTGCAATATATCATAACTACCACTGTAATGACACTCACTGCGCACTGTACACTGTAATATAGATGCAACTCCGAGTTAGTTATATCTATAATCATTGTGCTTTTAGTTTACCTCATACCACTCAGTGCCTGCTGTCATGTAAATACAACAAATCTGTCTCATATGCCATGTAAATATGCAAATAGATATACTTTTATTTTATTTCTCTTGTACTTTAACTTGTCTAGATTTATTTCTATTTTCTATTTTCTGCATAGTTTATGTAAGTTTGTGTGGAATTATATGTCTTGCTACTGAAACACAGCAATTTCCCTTCGGGATCAATAAAGTTCTATCTATCTACCTGTCCATCTATCTATCTATCTGTCTGTCTGTCTGTCTATCTATTCATCTTTCTAACTGTCTATCTATCTATCTATCTATCTATCTATCTATCTATCTATCTATGTATCTATCTATCTCTCTCTCGCTCTCTCTCTGTCTGTCTGTCTATCTATCTATCTGTCTCTCTCTATGTCTATCTATCTATCTATCTATCTATCTATCTATCTATCTATCTATCTATCTATCTATCTATCTATCTATCTCTCTGTCTGTCTGTCTGTCTATCTATCTATCTATCTATCTATCTATCTATCTATCTATCTATCTCTCTCTCTCTCTGTCTATCTGTCTCTCTGTCTGTCTATCTATCTATCTATCTATCTATCTATCTATCTATCTATCTCTCTCGCTCTCTCTCTGTCTGTCTATCTATCTATCTGTCTCTCTCTATGTCTGTCTATCTATCTATCTATCTATCTATCTATCTATCTATCTATCTATCTATCTCTCTGTCTGTCTGTCTGTCTATCTATCTATCTATCTATCTATCTCTCTCTCTCTCTCTCTCTCTCTCTCTCTCTCTCTGTGTCTATCTGTCTCTCTGTCTATCTAGCTATCTATCTATCTATCTATCTGTCTGTCTGTATGTCTATCTGTCTATCTATATGTCTGTCTATGGTTGTTTATAAATTCTTTCATTAGATATTACTTTCCTAATATATTTGTTTGTACACTACAAACAGTAAAAAGACCACTCCCTGTGACGTTTGCTTGATTTTTTTTAGTCAACCCATTTCAGTTCGATTCGATCGTTGATCCACTTCTCGTCCTGTGACTCTCGTTCTCCGTGTCTCGGCCATCGACCCTCGTCCTGTCTTTTCTTAGCCGCACGCCGTCGTTGAGCTGCAGCGGCTCGCAGCGCCAGTCCGGAGTCTGAACCCTCAGCATGGCTCTCCACGTCCCCAAAGCGCCGGGCTTCGCCCAGATGTTGAAGGATGGCGCGAAGGTACGGCTTGGTAGCTTTATAAGTCAGACAGTGAAATAACGGAGCGAGCCGGGCGCTGTGGGTAGCTACGTTAGCATGCTAACTAGCGTGAATCATGTGGGTGGAGATTTCTAGAACAGGGCCCAAAACTCAACATCCTCACCCAGATACTTCAGACAAGTAGCTGGTTTATTTATGTGTGTAGTTCAAAAGTTGTTTCCTTTACGCTGAATGGCCACCGTGTCCTAAATATAAGAGTAAACGTGTATTTTGTAAGATTAGCTAGTTGCTACTTAAGCATGTGCGTTCACCGGCAACCTGCGGTTAGCCGGTTAGCTAGTTAGCCAGTTAGCTTATGACAGTAATAGTGATCAGAAACAGTTCTGATGTGTGATGTTTAGTAACAGTACAAAAGAAGCAGATATTAATATCAGACAGTACGCAATAATACTGTGCTGGTCAATTGTCTACTTAACGGTTTTACCTTTTAATGTCTTCTTTCCAGTCAAATAGATGGGTGATGTCATTTTAAACCCTTATAATAAAAGAAGTTGAACTCAATTCTTTTTGTCTACTGAAAATCGACCAATTTTTCCACAAATCTGGGCTATAAACTGTAAACAGATGGCGTCTCTTCAGTGATCTGCTCTGTAAACATTATTTTTATAAAATAATACAAAGAGCGTCTAAGATTTTTGGCTTTCATGAGTGAATTGTAAGCATATATCAATATGTCTTTACTTTTGACAGTAATAGTGACCAGAAACAGTTCTGATGTGTGATGTGATACGTTCAGTAACAGTAAAAAAAAAAGCAGATATTAATATCAGACAGTACGCAATAGTGAGCTGGTCAATTGTCTACATAACGGTTTTACCCTTTAATGTGTTCTTTCCAGTCAAATAGATGGGTGATGTAATTTTGAACCCTTATAATAAAACAAGCTGGACGCACAATTCTTTTTCTACTGAAAGTCAACCCAGAAATAGAAATCTGGGCTATAAACAGATGGCGTCTCTTCAGTGATCTGCTCTCTAAACATTATTTTTTATAAAATAATACAAAGAGCGTCTAAGATTTTTGGCTTTCAGCAGTAAATTGTAAGCATATAGCAATATGTGTTTACTTTTGACAGTAATAGTGACCAGAAACTTCTGATGTGTGATGTGATACGTTTAGTAACAGTAAAAAAAAAAAAAATGACAGTAATAGTGATCAGAAACAGTTGGGCGGTATTCAGTTCATGTAACGTGTGATGTGGTACATTTAGTAACAGTAAAAAAAGAAGCGCTTTAATATCAGACAGTACGCAATAATAGTGGCTGGTCAATTGTCTACATAATGTTTTTACCCTTTAATCCCAGTAACCAGAGAGATAAACCAGTCTGGGTAGAATGGCTGAGGTATTAGTTTGGCACTGACAAATGGGATGGTTAGTTTTGGAAAGTAGATGCTATGGGATGACAAGGGATCTTCTTTACAAAGTAGATCTCTTTACATAGTAGATCCTTTATATGCAGTGGTGTATACGGACAACATTCAGAGCAGCAGAGCTTCTGGAGTGTTTTGCCTACCAGCGCCTGAATCAGAAACAGGGCGTGGGGCATCTACAGCAGCAGTTTTATGGGTTAAATGCAGTTTTCAGCCGGCTGTATTAAAATTCAACATGCAAATTTAATTTTAAGTTGAAATACAGTTTCATCAAAAGGATGACCAATTTTGGTTGGTGATGCTTGCTGCTTTGTTTTCACTCCTAATAGTCTCAGTAGACACAGAGCTCAAATTTGTCTCGTCTGATCAGCATTATTCAGGTCTGGAGGAGGCCGTTTTCAGAAACATCCAGGCATGCAAGGAGCTGGCTCAGACTACAAGAACTGCATACGGACCCAATGGTGAGGTGTTTACATCACATTTTAACTTGTTTCAGAGGCCACTCTGGCTACCTTTTGTGCCTAAGTTAATTTTTTTTATATATTTTCCAGGCATGAACAAAATGGTCATCAACCACTTGGAGAAACTCTTTGTCACCAGTGATGCTGCCACCATTCTGAGAGAGCTTGAGGTGAGTTTAGATTCTTGTACCAGTGTCGGGACCAAAGGCTATCCCCTTCAACCCCAGGCCTCCAATATAATATTATTAAAAAAGAAATCTCTTAATACTGGCTAACACTTACACTAGTAACTGTTTTAAGTCCAAGTTCTCAAAAGATGTCAAAAAGGAAAAAGATTTCAGGCGCTGAGTTGGTAGAAAGAGGGAAAAAGGCTTCTTCTTTATTCCAGTATGATGGCGCGCAGGTTTCGAGAGACCCAACCGCGCGGTACAGTGTTCTGAGCGCCTTATATGCCCTTATCTGGGGTGTGATGGTGTCACCTCAAACAGGATGTTCCATTAGTCTCCTTTCAAACTTCCCCATCACTTGGCCTCTCTTGACTGGTTTCAGCCAGTTCATACCAGTTTATCTCATCCTACAAGGCCCTACTGAATCAGATATCATATGGACTCATATGGGTTCACTAAGAGTGCACCTGCAAGTGAGGTCATCTAAGTTCATCTGTTTTTGGGAAGCTCCCAGACTGACAGACTATAGCCTAATGCCTTTCCTATGTTACCTCTTAGTGAGAAATTAATATTCCCCTTGTAGTCAATGCTTAACTGTTTGATTATTGATTAAATGTCTAATGTATTTATTTATTGATTAAGGGTGTATTTATTCAAAATCTTCCATCACCAGAATGCACCTTTTCAGTTTTCGTAGTACACAACATAAAGATAAAAAAATCGCTTATTTATTTATTTTCTTCTTCCCCTTTTAGGTCCAGCACCCAGCTGCTAAGATGATTGTGATGGCATCCCACATGCAGGAGCAGGAGGTGGGAGATGGGACTAACTTTGTCCTGGTGTTTGCTGGTGCTCTGCTGGAGCTGGCAGAGGAGCTGCTCCGAATGGGTCTCTCGGTGTCTGAGGTGAGGAACTGTAAATTGTAGTATTCCTTACTGTCTGGACCACCAGGCTGTTGTATAAACATGGTTTACTTTGTACAAACAACAGAAAGGCCTCACTCAGTTAGTGCCGTCAGGGTGTTTGTGTGACACCTAATAAAGTAACTGAATGCATGCCCATCTTGGAGTGCTGTGTGCCCAGTGTAGTCTTGTCTGAGTTTTCATGGATATAACACAGAGATGAGTAGAACTGGGATTTTATTAGGAGTGGCCTGAATAACTGATATACTTAGTTATTCATTTATTATACAGGGTGTCCCAAAAATTGCTATCATTTGAGATGTGAATATCTGAGTAATTACATGTCGTAGGCAAACAAAATTAAATAGGCTTCATGTTGAACAATACAAGCTTTATCAAAATCTGAACAAGAAATTCAGACGGATGTAGATTTTATTACCGATTTCACAGCTTCACAAATGTAATATCTTCCGATACTGGTGGTTGTCCAGATCCCTCTGTCCTGCACAGACAGCGTTCCTCTTTGAATTTTTTATGCCATGCCTAAATCTGCTTTCTAGTTGGTGCATTTTTATTGAATTTTCACGAAAATGCTGCTGCACACTCTTGTTTGACTGTGTTCGAGCATATTCTAACACACTAAATGCCTTTTCATTTTTGAGATCATTTGAGGGAGAATTGGCTGTTATTAGACTATGAAATGATGTCAATTTTCTATGTATTTTTATGTTGTTAACCATTTAGATCCTACCCGACTTCTCGAAAACATTTTATCATAAAACCAGAATAAAATGGCAGTTACTCAATAATAAATGTGTTATTCGGCTAAAAAATCTTGTCATACCTCGTGAACATTAGCTAAAGGCTCAGCGCTGCCAAAGCGCCTCTATGATCTTCCAAGTCACTCCTTTTACAGGACTGAAGCAATATGTTAGTGAAGGAAATTGAGATGGCAAAAAAAAACATTAAAACAAAGAGAGAGAGGCACATTTATTTGTTTGGCTCTAGTTTTGACTGATAAACGACATTCAGCTAAAGAAGCTGTGCATTTTTGTCAATTCCAGTTTCTCTAATGCCAATAACAAAGCGTGACCGTGATGATGCACAGGCTTTTTCTAATTTAAAACTGGCTCCCGTTCAGAATTGTGTGTTTGTGGACATCCCCAGTAAATAATGCATTTGGTCATGGATATTGTGGTGACTGGGGGCAAGGCGGGGTATATTATGGTCTTGCAAGGCTCCTGGGTTCTAGCATCTTAGGAGGCCCACCAAACTCTATCGATTACACTAAACAAATGACCTGAAATTACCTATAAAGTAGATTAAACAGTAGTTGACATTTGTTTTGTCAGCCGTGTATTTTCTTGGGAGAATAATCAAAATTAGCTTTTATAACCGTTCATGTGCTAATGCTTACGTCAGCACTGGATTTGACCCAAGTATTATGAGCCTTGTGAGAACCATGTGGCCTGAGGCCTCCCCAGGCCTTTGGCAGTCAGAGGCCCTTGGGCACTGACCCCACTGGCACCGGTCAGTAAAGTGAAAGATATGATTTAATACATTTTTTTTTTCCTGCCCAGGTCATTGAGGGCTATGAGATGGCCTGCAAAAAGGCTCTGGAAATTCTTCCTGACCTCGTTTGCACCTCTGCTAAAAACCTGCATGACTTGGCTGAGGCTACCGCTATGATTCGTACTGCTGTGATGAGCAAACAGTACGGAAACGAAGACTTCCTTGCCGATCTCATCGCGCAAGCCTGTGGTAAGAGCTGATCGGCCAATAACGTCCAGGATTGTATCTAATGTTGCTGGAACCTTCTAACTATTAAAGTCTTCACTTGCTTAAGTTAGGTCTTGATCTGTTCCTTTCACAGTGTCCATCTTCCCCGAGTCCGGCAATTTCAATGTAGATAATGTTCGAGTGTGTAAGATTTTGGTGAGTCATAACTCAGTGTTGTTTTCTGTCTATATTGTTGACAGTATTTTAGTATGTGTTTGGTTATCGGCATGTTTTGTATTCTGATGCTGATTATTTGTACATGAAGGGTTCTGGTCTGAATGCCTCATCAATGCTGCATGGAATGGTTTTCAAGAAGGAGACTGAAGGAGACATCACATCAGTTAAAGATGCCAAAATCGCTGTATTTTCTTGTCCGTTCGACTGCATGGTTACTGAGACCAAGGTAAGCCTAGTGTTCAAAAATGAGTGTGTGATTAGAATAAGTGCTGCTTCTTTATCTCTGAATGCAGATAGATTCCTGTGTATTGTGGGAAGCATGATTTTTAATAATTAAAGTTATAATGGTGATTAATGTTTTAATGAAATAATTAAGAGTTTTGTTTAAAATGTCGTTTTTAATTTGAAGTTTTGTTATAAATGGGGATGTACGCTGATAATCAGCTAGGGGTGTAATGATTCGGTTTGGATCAGACCTCCTTTTTTGTGGGGGGGGTGAGTAAGAAAAAAAACATGGAAAAAATGTCTTTTATTAAATTGCCAACGGCACATTAGTGCTGGGCGATGTGGCCTCAAATCAATATCACGATTAATTGAATGTTTTACCTCGATTCCGATTATTTTGTTTTTGTTTGGTTTTCTGCCCTCATAGTTCACTGACAAGGTTTGTGCTGTAAATATGTTCCGCATATCTTAATGTAAATCGTCTCAACACCCAGATCGGAATTCACACGACTTTTATGTCAAACCAATTTGATATTCATCATAATTTCATTCTGCTGAGACCTCAGAAACACTTGGGGTGATATTTCTGTACAAACATTAGAAGAGACTCGTCCACAAACCCTCCGTGTTCGAAGAGATTTAGAATGAAATGGCCGAACGCGGCTGCAGGAGAACGAGGCTGCAGCGCCAAAGAACAGTTAAAAGTCTGAAAGCAAAGTTTAAAGAATACGATGATGCGAACGAAAGAAGTGGCCGCGCCCTTTTTACGGTGAGCTGAACACATTCTGGGTGGTGAGCCCAGCTCTCATTCAGTGAAGCTTCATGACGGCTTCTGTGGTGCTGGTGAAGATGAAGCTGATCCTCCGGGAGCGACTGGCGTTCGTTGGCAGTCGTGATTGTTGGATGAGCCGTGTGAAGCTCTGTTCTTTATGCATGTGGGTCGGTTTAGGAGCTGATCTGTTCAGACTGATGTCGCATACAGATCACATTTAAAAGATAATCTGAACAGCCGAACAAAAAAATCTGATTTGGGCCACTTTTACCTGCTGTGTGAATGTAGCCTTAGCTTCAGTGTCACAGACTGGACGTGGAAGTTTTAAGGGGACAGTATATGAACACACAGAATTGGGAAAGGATTAATAGAATTAAAAAAAATCTAAATAGCCGACATTGGCAAGATTACGTCGCTTAGAGGTTCTGAACGTCTGTTTCGATTACTTTTCCATTAATCGTCCAGCTCTATAACATAGTACATTGTACATTAATGTCACATAAACTAACGTAATGAGAGCTCAGCAGCTGGTTGGGGTGGGGCAGAGGGATGTATCACTGTTCGTACCTCGGACATATGTTTTGCGGTTTTGGTCTCGGTTTCAGAATCATTACACCCTTAATATCAGCAGATAATTACTTAAAAATACTGTCTGTCAGACAAGTCGATTTGACCCATATTTCAGGCTGATATTTGATGAAGTGTTTATTATATTCTGGACGATCAGAACATTTATACAATGTCAAGCCTTTTTTGTATCTCCAACAGATATTTACATGAAAAATATTGCATATCTGCATCGATTTCTGTATCGGTTCAGCTCTAATTGTGAAAGGTCAATGATTTTCAGCCTATTTCAAAATACGTAACGAGAAATTAAATGATATCCCACAGAATTTTGTGAAATGAGATGGCAAAGATTAGCAAAGGGTTCTTAATTGATAAATCTGCTCATATGTTGTGAATGAATTCATATAGAGAGATTTAGCTGACTATAGGTCTAAATTAGCATATCAGCCAAAAAGTCACATTTCTTTTTGTTTTATCAGCTATTCAGACTAGTTTGATTTGCATTGGCATTCGTACACATCATCTAAATTTCTTCAGGAAGTTTGCTTACTGAACTTGTAGCCATTGTACAACATTCACGCTACTTCAGGTTTTGTCTGAGTGGTATTTCACAAGCAGAAATCTTTTGCATTCATCAATGCCAGCATTAGCCTTCGCTGATTCTGTGTAGTTTGGTAACCTGCCAGGGTATCTAGTGGGTGATACAGATATACCTGCCAAACGGTGGGTTGTGGCTGTTAATCACTCCTGTCTATAAATAACCACTGTGGCTGTATCCTCCTCTCAGGGCACAGTGTTGATAAAGAATGCTGAGGAGCTGATGAACTTCAGCAAAGGGGAGGAAGACCTGATGGAGGCGCAGGTGAAGGCCATTGCTGGCGTCGGTGCTAACGTGGTGGTGACCGGGGGCAAGGTGGCAGATATGGCTTTACATTACGCCAACAAGTACCAGCTCATGGTAGTCCGGTGAGAAGACAGTGTTTACATATTGGAGGATGTACAAACACTAGAAGTGTTAACCTTTATGCCCCCCAGTTTATGGGTGTGAATGTTCATAAACTCAGTGTGTTGTGTTTTGTGTTCTTTGTCAAGGCTCAACTCCAAATGGGATCTTAGAAGGTTATGCAAAACTGTTGGTGCTGTAGCTTTGCCTAGAATGGTGAGTCTTACTCTTAATTCTACCCTCATGCTTCTATCACCAGGTTCCTATCTCCCAGAACAGGTTCAACCTCAGCAGGGTTCTAGACTAACGCTGCATTTACACTGTTCCGGGACGTCGACGGACGTGAATGCACCCCCCCTCTGCAGCTGGCCGCATATGGGCGTTAACAAATGTTCTCTGCGTCATCCAATTAAATCACGTCCTGCTTAGTCAAATTTTAATGAATAAATGTGCAATCAAAAAACTAATTTAGTAAGTTATTAATTACAAATATGTATAGAAGAAGTGATTAGAGCTTGTGTTCAACATCGGCTGTTTCCTCGGATATTTATCTGCCTGTATGATTCATCTTAGTACAAAATAATGAACGTGATCAAACCCTCAAATACATCTTACACCGTGTTATTTTGAGTGTACTTTAACTGAGCTTTGATGTAGGCATCAGTATAAAAAGATACTATAGTTTTATTAAATAGGAAAGGGTTTTATGCAGTCTTGTAGACTCTAACTTTAGTCTACAAATGTTTGTGAGCTTCATAACATTAACTAAACTAGCTAGAGAGCAGCATATAAGCTAACAAAAGCAAAATGTTCTAATAAAGTGATGTATTAATATTTTTCAAAACCCACCAAAGACACCAACAATCAGCCTTTCTCCATGCATCATTGCGTTGATCCGAGCCCCTGTAATTTGGCAGGATGGATCAAAAAGGACAGGGAACCCTGAAACTGCAATAATGAGCTTTTCCTCTGTGCTCCACCGGAACGTTTGAATGCGAACGAATGTTTCATACATTGCATTGTGAACACTTAGCGCGCAAACACTGGCCATCTTCTGATTGGATAGACATGTCGCATTGGCTGGATTGATCTGCATAAACTGCAGCTCGGCCCAGCTTTTCGCCGCACCGAATCCCCCAGACTCAATGTGCTGGACCCATCATGTACTGCGCGGCCACGTTTGGCGGAACCAACGCTTTCCATTGAAAACGAATAAGATGCGTTGCGTTGCGTTGACGCGCCAGAGCAGTGTAAATGCAGCGTAAGGCTGGCTTTGTGCGGCTGAACATTTATGTTCTGAGATGCATGCATAAAACATTTAATTGCTCCACTAGTTAGCCAGATTACTTGCTCATATTTTGATATATCATAACCTTCGCGCTATTAAGTCACATGAGGTAATGTACATATTTGCAGCATTTCTAGCATTGTTTATTTTTTTCAAGGTGACATTTATGTTCATTCTATATCTCTATTAGTCATTTTTGCATCTAACTAAGGTTCTCTGTGTATTTGAGTTTTTATTTTTGTGTACGTTAAGCCTTTGATAATTAATGTTTAATTAGCCATTTTAGTTACGGCCTATTTGATATCTTGATCATCTTGTTCATGCAAGATCATCACATTAACTGCAGGCTAACGGTGAGTAAATCACATTAACAGCAGCCTAAAAAAGGATAAATGGTGTCAAAAGCAGCCATTTAAACAGCTCTTACCAGTAGCTGGATAGTTAACACAGCTAGATACATTAGCTTTGAGAAACACACATTTGGGTACCACGGCTGAGGAAACTTAACAAAACTGAACCGTATCCTGTTTTATTTCCCTTTCCACTGATCAGTGTATGTAGCTCGGTTAAAAAGGGATCCACCGTTGCGAGATAGCAAATCCAGAATTAGGTCATAGTAAGGTTAGCAGACCAAGCAAGAAATCCTGCTTCGTCACACAGGCCCAGGTTAAACTGTAAATAAATAGTAATGCAGTTGCTCAGTTTCTGGCATCTACATCTGCCTTGTTTACTTTCCCTAGACTGTTCCTACTCCAGAGGAGATGGGGCATTGTGACAGTGTGTGCCTGACCGAGGTCGGAGACACCCAGGTTGTAGTGTTCAAGCACGGTAAGAGTTATCAAATCCCTGTATCATAACATTCTTCCTTTTTTTTCCTTTTACATGAACCCCACAACAAGACACTGTCGGAATGACAGGTTTCTAGACAAATAACACATTTTCTAATTCCAGAGAAAGAAGAAGGAGCCATCTCTACGCTGGTGATTCGAGGCTCCACAGATAACCTGATGGATGATATCGAAAGAGCCATTGATGATGGAGTGAACACTTTTAAGGTCCTTGTCAGGGTAAGTCTGCAGCTTTGGACAATTCCACATAATCCCACATTGACCATGGCCGACTCTCTAATCAGGCATCAGGTTTTCTTTTGACGTTCAATTTTGCCTTTATACATTTTTAGGACAAGCGACTGTGTCCTGGTGCCGGAGCTACAGAAATTGAGCTGGCTAAGCAGATCATGTCCTATGGAGAGGTAAGTCAATAACATCACTGCAGTAAAGAATTAACTAATGATGTAACGTTGGTTGAAAGTCTGTATACAGAATCTAATTCCCCGGTTGTGTGTGCGGCAGATGGGAATGTCTGCCTTACCTTGATTTAATAGTGTATGTTGTTTTATTGTGTTCAAAATCTGCAGTCCAAGTTCAAAAGTGATCGTTCTCTACCTTCAACCCACTTGGCAGTCCGCAGCAGTTGTGTATGCGATAAGAAATCTTGGGAAAGATGTCAGAGACGGGAGTGGCTACTCGATTTACACACTACCTTTAGCCCAGAAAAGAGTAGAATCATTTAAAGAGTTAAAACACTTTGTTTAGCAGTGTAACTGTTCCCTAACCATTCATCTTGCTTTCTTAAATCAATGCACTGTCTCTAGCATTGTCAATAGCTTGTGAATTCACAGCCAACAACCAACATTTGGGGCGGTCGTGGGCTGGGGGTTAGGGAACCAGCCTTGCGCCCGGAAGTTCGCGGGTTCGATCCCCTGAGCCGACAGTATGTGACTGAAGTGCCCTTGAGCAAGGCACCTATCCCCCAACTGCTCCCCGGGTGCTGTGAATAGGGCTGCCCACTGCTCTGGGCAAGTGTGCTCACTGCCCCCTAGTGTGTGTGTTCACTAGTGTGTATGTGGTGTTTCACTGCATGGATGGGTTAAAACGCAGAGGTGAAATTTCCTGTTGTGGGACTAATACGGGTCACTTAATCATTAACATGTAAAATCTAATTTTATTTTTTTATTTATTTAATTTAATTTTAAATTTTAATGTTATGGGTGATTCACTTGAGGTAGGACGGTACATATCAGTTTGATTTTTGCCACAGAAAATAGGTCAGGGGTGTCAAACTCAACCGCTAAAAGGGCCATAATAAAAATCTCAACAGATCTGTCGGCCAAAGAGCGTTTATATTTTAATATGCCAAAACGTCATCAGCAAAGTTTAGCCACTAGTTGTGAATCTTCAAATGTTACATGCAAATACTTCACATATTTAGGCTACATTAGCTACAGATAACTTAAATCTCTTTAAATGTCCCCAGGATGTAGGTCTTTTAGACCTGCCTGTGTGTTTGGCCTCGACACCTGACATCTTTTCTTCCTGCAGGTTAATTAATTTTTGGGATCAGTTTCTGAGCTGCTGAGAGTTTATAGTGTTTTATAGCGTTTATGCTGGTTGAACTGCAACTGAAACGCAGCTGGTGTGCTTGGTGATATAACGTGTGCAATTGGGTACAGAACTGCTGTCCCATAAGTTGTTGTTGGGAGTATGCTGGGGATTGTAGTGCTGTTGATTGTGAAATGGGCTAATAGTAATCGAAAGTTCAAATAATTTCGAGGGCAGGATTAGATTGTGCCACGGGCCTGATCGGGCCTGCGGGCTTTGTCTCTTGGACGCATGAGACATAGGTAAACGCTTCTTTGAGTGCCTTCATCCTTAATAAACTCCTTTTCCAAAGGATATGTTAACATTTTTAGATTTGCCTGGGATTAATATAACCGGGGTTGTTTGTGCTGCTTGTTTTAGAGAAGCATGGGGCTGTTTTCTTTTGAATAAAGCTTTAGATTGAGACACGATAAAGCACTGCTGTTTTATAATGAATACTCTATTAAATTGAAAATTGAAATAATAACACGGCAGATTTTCAGCCACTGCTTATTTTTGCTGTATCAAAGCGTATCCAATCGAGACACCACTGTATCATATTGCATTCTGCTCTCCTAGTAGTTTGATTACTTACAATAAGCCCTTTTCCCTGCCTGATGGCCTTGTGTGTTTTGCCAGTCTTGCCCAGGTTTGGAGCAGTACGCCATCAAGAAGTTTGCTGAGGCTTTTGAGGCTGTGCCGCGTGCGTTGGCGGAGAACTCTGGTGTGAAGGGCAACGAGCTGATCTCCAAATTATATGCAGTTCACCATGAGGGCAACAAAAACATGGGCTTTGATATTGAGGTGGGTGTCGGCGTTCATAAAGCCAGTAAACATAGACATTAATCTTTCTTATTTAATCGCCTTTGCTGTTATTTAAACTCTCTTTATTCCTCTTTTTTATAGGGTGAAGGGCCTGCCATGAAGGACATGCTTGAGGCAGGCATTCTGGATCCTTACCTGGTCAAACACTGGGGCATCAAGCTGGCCACCAACGCTGCCATCACTGTCCTCCGGGTTGATCAGGTCAGCTAATACTTCACACTGAGCTGAATACTCATCAGCAACGTTGACAAATCTGTCCATTTGAAACCTTTTTCTATCAGAGAGGCTGCAGAGGTGTTTTCAGCTGATTGTTTGATTGTTATGCGATGTAAATGTGTATCAGATCATTATGGCGAAACCAGCAGGGGGCCCCAAAGCTCCCAAACAGCAAGGCCACTGGGACAAAGATGGATGGGACGAAGAGCCTGATAAATTTGACACACATCATTGATAAGAAACTCCAAAAATGGGACAGGTGCCCCGATACACTTTGTGTGTGCCTAACCACTGGAGTGTGGGAGTGACGTTTGGGAATGCATGCACACACTCACCTTTTGCATCACTGTTGTGTTTATCGATGATACGGTAGACTTTGAGCCGCTAATTGTAAATGTTATCTCAGAAATGACCTCATCACACATTCCTATTCGCATTTTGCAAGAATGAATCAAATCTGGAGTTAAACTGGAATCCTCAGATTTAAAAATCCTGGATTCCTCAGATTTAAAAAAAAGTTATTTTAATGTGAACAAAGGGTTTTGATGGAAAATGTGCCATTCAGGAGGTACTTGCTGACGCTTGCACCTAAAATGCCGGTGAGAGGGACCAGCGGTGAATGACAAATACAAATATTTCCATTTTTATTTGCATTTCAAATGACCAGTGAATCTACGTGTCTTTTCCATTTTTTATATTGTCGCTTTTTTCAAAAAAGTCCCTTTTTTATTGTATAATTTTTTCCGTACCATTTGAGCACACCAACTTCGCTTTACATTTTGTAAACATTTCATAACAAGTGGACCAACAGAAATGCTCTGAAATTGTTCGTCTGGACCAATTCTGACTCAGTAAGCTGCTCTAGAATGGCTCATTTCAAATCAGGCCACTCTAAATCACTTTGTTCACGTCTTAAAGATTTAATTACAGTACATTTAAAGTTTGAAAATTGGTGGAGTCAGCAAAAATGTTTGACCTAAATTTTATTTAGGAGTGAGTCTTAAACATCTAACGATGTTCGACATGGCTTTGGGATTTAACAGTAGTCAGTCATGCATTCTTACATACTGTTAAATGGATATAGACCCTGGACTTTATTATATGCACTATGGAGATGAGGGCAACTGAAAGCACTGGAAATAATGACTCAAGATCAGGTTACTATTGTTATTTGCAAGGCGTGCATCTTAGGTTTGTTGGTTGCTGTTTAATCTGTCATGGAAGCTTGTTCAACTGTTTATCATGGACCAACAGGTGTACGTAGGTGCACCCCTCCAACTTGTGTGTATAGTTTGACACTTTGTTGGCATCATACTAACATTTCTGCCACGATGCACCAAAGCATAGTTTCAGTCATAGTATTTTAAAATGGAAAACTCAGCACTGGCACAGCGAGACTGCATGTTGCATGCACTGAAGCACTTTTTCCTTCCATTAGGGTATCCAATCTTGGCAGTAGCACCTGTTTGGAATAACTGTCCTAAAGAAGGTGAGGTATACGCTTGTCTGGCATGTTCTGACAGGTCTGCATGTGTCTCTCCTGTCCCCACAGATCATCATGGCCAAGCCAGCTGGTGGACCCAGAGCGCCACAGGAGAAGAAAGACTGGGACGAGGACGACTGAGCTAGCCTTGCCTAAACACCTGCGTACCCTGCGTCCCCTCGTCAGCGTTTCGACTGTTGTTTATTTAATATCAACACCTCGTTTTGTATTTTTTTTTTTTTTCTTTAGCACAAGCTTTGGATTCGTTCGTGTGAACAGAAATGGATGGCTCTGTAGTTTTTGTGGTCTCAATAAAAGGCACTTGAGCTGTCACGTATCTGTCAAAGATGGTCCGTTCTGTTTCTTTTAAAGGGGAGATTTTCCTTGAAGTCCAGTTGTGTTTGCCTGAGGTGAGGAAGTCGTCCCCTACTGTGTACAAATTTGCTGATAGGGCTTGCAAGCTAATTGTTAGGTGAAGATATCTTCCCTTAACTGTATGCACGGTCCCTTTTTCCCATGAGTCTTTGGCCATATTTCTAGATGAGTCCACAGCAAACATATATACACTGATCAGCCACATTAAATCCACCTCGTTTCTACACTCATTGTCCATTTTAATCAGCTCCTCTGACCATATAGGTGCACTTTGTAGTTCTACAGTTACAGACTGTAGTCCATCTGTTTCTCTTTGTTAGCCCTGTTCTTCAGTGGTCAGGACCCCCATGGACCCTCACAGAGCAGGTACTGTTTGGGTGGTGGACCATTCTCAGCACTGCAGTAACACTGACGTGGTGGTGGTGGTGTGTTAGTGTGTGTTGCACTAGTATGAGTGGATCAGACACAGCAGTGCTGCTGGAGTTTTTAAACACTGTGTCCACTCACTGTCCACTCTATTAGACACTCCTGCCTTGTCAGTCCACCTTGTAGATGTAAAGTCAGAGACGATAGCTCATCTGCTGCTGCACAGTTTGTGTTGGTCATCCTCTAGTCCTTCATCAGTGGTCACAGGATGTTTCCCACAGGGCACTGTTGACTGGATATTTTTGGTTGGTGGACTATTCTCAGTCCAGCAGTGACACTGAGGTGTTTAAAAACTCCAGTAGCACTGCTGTTTCTGATCCACTTGCACCAGCACAACCACGTCAGTGTTACTGCAGTGCTGAGAATGATCAACCACCCAAATAGGACCTGCTCTGTGAGGGTCCATGGGGGTCCTGACCACTGAAGAACAGGGTAAAAGGGGGCTAACAAAGTATGCAGAGAAACAGATGGACTACAGTCTGTAACTGTAGAACTACAAAGTGCACCTATATAGTAAGTGGAGCTGATAAAATGGACAATGAGCGTTGAAACAAGGAGGTGGTCATCATGTTATGTCTGATCGGTGTATATAGTGATGTATTTGCATGCTGCTAAGTGAAATCAACAATGCAAAATTCTCACTTGCAGTATCTGCTGAACGTTTTGCCTTAAACCACTTATTAATAATTGAATGAAATGGCAGATAAAACAAGTACAGACAGAGAAGTTGCTGGCGGCCTCTCGGGAGCGCGCCCTGATGCACCTCGAGTGCCTGGGGTGAGGGAGGTGTCGATTCAATTCACTTCCACTTCAATGACTCGGCACGTCTGAATTAACGATTTATTGGTCCGAATTTTCATCTTTACATGCATTTTTGTTCGGATCAGTTTGTAAAATCCGTTGTCGCTTCTTCTATTTAAGGAAGCCGGACTGTGAATGAACAAAGCAGTAACGTTAAAGAACGACGGTCTACAGAGAGGCACTGTTACAGAGTTCACACAGACCAATAAATATGCCGCAATGTGTTATGATTTTATTAGATTACGTTTTTGAAACGTTGAGTTAAACATTAATCGCAGGGGCGGTTCGATTCAGTCGGGCTTGCGAATAAGTTCGAGCGAGAAGATCCGATTCGGATGAACGACTCGTTGACGAGTCGGGCATCGCTGCTCTTCGGTGAACATGGCCGCTCTCAGCAAGTCCATACCGCACACCTGCTATGAGATTGGACACACTTGGTGTCCGTCATGTACAGTGTCAGTACTGCAGGTGACAGCCGGCGCCCTGGAGGTCTCCTTCAAGATATACGCCCCGCTTTATCTAGTAAGTGTTTTGAGCATGACTGCCTGGTGTTTACAGTAAGGACGCCTGAGCTAACCTAGCCTAGCCTAGCCTAGCCCAGCACTAACTCACTGAGGCTGCTGCAGGCGGCATCATCACAGAGCTAGCCTTAGCCTGGAGCTAACAAGTTATCTGATAAAGCCAGGCCTGAATTAAACTGCTTATTTAGCTCTTAAAGCTTTCTGGAAGGCGAAATTTGCCATTTTCTTATCGCTTCTTATTCCAAACCGTAGCAACCAAGCTAGGAAGGTGTCTTACTGTGATGATGAGCCTGACGCCTGCGCCGTGGGCTGTTATCTGATTCAAGTAAACGACTATTTTCACTAGTTTGTAAGTGAACTTAACGCTAGTGAATAAATATCACCGAGCAAAAGTCAGTTTAGTGTCTTGGGGATTAAGTTTAGCCAGCTGGCTGTCAATAAATAGCCGTGATAGCCAACGTACTGGCTGCCCTTGACTTTGTGTCCCATTGCTTTTGCCCAGTCTCAGATGTAAACATTATGTAAATAATGTATGAGGCAAGCTAAAGCAGTTTACTGACCCATAACGTTAGTGGGAAAGGTCACCCAGCCTCCACTGGACTTGATGTTCTTGACCTCGGTGAGGTCAGGGAGTATCTTGCTATGGCCCTAGGCTATCAACCAAGGAGGATTAGTGGAAAAATGGACAGTTTAATAGCTGATTAGTTCTTGATTGTCATATGTATATGTGTCATATGTGGTTGATATGGCAAAATATAATATTTTGATACTTTTTTTTACGATTCGTGACATTTATTTGTGTTTATTTTACAAAGTAGTACCACATTTTGGAAAGGAATACTATCAAAAAGTGTGAATCCAATTATTGATATTCGATATTTCACACTTTGTAACACTAAATCAGTTTTACAGGATTAATAATGCTCTGATTTTAATCAAACATGCGGTTGGGAAGTGTGTTTAAGCACTGGCGATATCCACAATATGCTCAGAAAAGCATACTGGGACACATTGTGATGTTCATCACACATATTGGGACGTACTGTTATCACAGTATTGATAAATATTGCCTTACTGCCCAGCTCTGGTCGTATATACTGCTTAGTTACACTAAGCTAGACATGATGAATGTTTGTTCAACAGCTTGCAATAGTTGCAACACTCCGCTAGATTGCTCTGTCCAGTTGCTCATTGGTTCTGGGCAGTGACATGACAGTAGCCTGTTTCTGATGTGGTGAGGAGCAGGCACTGCTCAGCATGAACTCAGCACAGAGTGCTAACTTAGTTGCAGCCTTAGTCTAATAATTGTGGCATCAATATACAAATGATCTCTACATACTTGATATCAGAACAGCAGAGTATTGCATTAATCCTGGATCTCGAGGATAGGTTGGGGTGGGATTGTCATTAATAAGGCTGCTCTAAACCAAAAGTTATACTTTGGCTGTATTTGAATGAGCAAATTGAAAGCCTGCCTAACACAGAAATGTGGACACATTGTGAATTTCACACAAGCACATGACTTCCACCCTAGATTGCCGCCATCCTAAGGAGGAAGAAAAAAGACTACTACAAGAAGAGGCTCATCCCTGAGATCATGCAGTCCACGTCCTTTCTGACCGCAAACGGAGGCCTGTACATTGCCTTTTTCTGCTTGCTAAGGTAAGAGCGCAGTCTTTCTCAAAGAAAGCAAAACTGTTTGGCTCAATGATGGTTCTGTAAACAGACATTACAGACAGATGGCCCATCAACCTTTGTATCCCTGCTCTTATCAGCTGGTTAAAGTCCAGGGATAGTATACCGGATCCTAAAGGCTGAAGCAGTGTTGCACTGGCTTTACGGTGGTAAAAATGAAAGGCAAGTTCAATGCAGTGTGCTTTGTATCCAGTACTTTGTGGGGCATGGCAGGGCAAAATGTACTGGTTTTACAAAATGTACTTGCTTGTATTAGAGCTGGGATGCTAACTAATAATAAATAAAAAAATGACAATATTATCAGTAAATATCAGTATTTTTAGTATTTAAAACCACTGGCATGTTCAGTATATCTATGGCAGTTTTTGCACCAGAAGGGGCGACAAAGCCTTGGGGCCTTTTCACACCAAGTCAAAGTTTCACAGAATCCATGTCAGGTTTTGAAAACGTATACATCAATGCTGATGTCATCTGTCACATCATAGCTCATGGTTGCATTTGCAGTGAGTTTATTTGCTCATTTAAATGCTTAGGGTGCTGTTCCTGAAGCAGAGCCTCAAATCCAACATAAACACACTGCCATAGAGAAACATGCTGTTCTGCTAAACTCTTTGAAGTTAGAATGGGATGTTACCCAGCTTCTGCGTTTTGAGTCACACGGGATAAAGAAAAATGATGCGTCTATTGCCATCATTACTTGATCCATCTCTCTATCCATTTCTCCTAGGTTTAAAGTAAAGCTGTAATTGCTTAGCTTTTTTATTGCTTTTATAAAACGGCAGCCAACATAAAATACATTAGAATGCACAATGTTTTAGATAATTATTTATGTTATTAATAATAGTAATCGACATAAACAAGTATTCCGCCAAAAAAACGTGGTTTCTTTAGAGTATGGTATCGTTGCTAAGCAACCATTGACCGTTTGGTCACCAAACACTGTAAACTACAGACATTTCATGATCGTATAACAGTGAACATATGATAACACAGCACTGTTTAATGCAAACACTTTCAGTTTATAAGTACTGTTTGGTCACCAAATCACCACCGCGGGTCTTCTGCCAGTCTGACGACCCCACTTTTCTCAGGCTGGGGCTGAATCTCAGACGGCTCCCTGCTACCTAAATAGTGCACTACGTTGGAATTTAAATACTGACTCCTGCAGCCCAACAATGCAAAATATTGCTAAAAATGGTCATCCTCGACAAGTCATTCAGGTGACATTCTTTAGACTTTTATACAGCCGTTTTTCAGTGAATCATACTGTGAGTTCTTTAATTCAAGCCAGTGATATTAATGTTGGAGTTGTTTAGCCTGTTTGCTATCTTTTAGCCTGTTGGCTAGCTGACCAGCCTAGTTCTAGTTAAGAAAATAAGTTTCCAGCCCCTCAATTTAAACAAAAAACAGGTTCTTACCTCATCAGTACACTCGGTGCTCCGTGCGATCAGCGTTAGAGTCAGAGATTAATCCATTAACAGCAGAAGGGTTTTTGTGCCATGGCGCAGTGATACAGAGTTCAGCTGTTGTGAGGCGAAGAAACTAGATTAATAGTAGGACAAGAAATAGATTTCATGCTGGCACATCGTCTACTAAAGATGAAAAGAAAAACATGTAGAAGACAACTTCGTTTTACCTCTTTAGCTCATCTGAGGCAGCTTCCATTATGTTACTTATCCGACACACAAAACCTACCGATCTCCCTCCTCTATTTTTGTATAATAAAACTTGCTGCAATATGTTTTCCTTAGTTTTTCTCCTTTTTGTGTGTGACACCAGTGCTGTCGCCTAAAAAGGTTAGCATAGCTATATGTTTGGGTTTTCCAGCAGTCCTTTTTACCCCCTTCTTCACGGTTAACTGGATTCTTACGAATACACAAATCAAAATTAGTCAAAATGCACATCCCTAGAATGGGACTCGATGGTTCCGTTGATGGTCCTGAAAGGTTTTAGTGTGTTAAAAATCTACATTTTTCAGCCATAAAAATCAACCTGGTATGACAAGACCTCACAGCAACCAAACAAAATTAAAATGACTGAAACTGCTGCTTCTAGAGGCATTTTTCTTGTATGGCAATAAACAGTGAACAATGTACCGTCACTATCATGTTGCAGCTCACAGGGAAGCTCACTGCTGTGTATGTAAACGAAGTGAACCCAGGACTGGAGTATCAGATCGTGGTTATACAAAAAGGGAAGAAACAGTAATAAATCCTCCTTTCATGGCTGTTATTAATAACTTATTTATAAATCGATAAGGGATCCCAGCCCTAATTGTATTCCGTGATGGAATGAACAGCCTAGACATTATGCTGTGCTCTAGTTAAATGCTTCTTGCTGCTAGTCGTTGTGCAATAATAATTCATTCTATAGCGTTCTTTTCATTGAATCATCAGATTCAGTTCCTCTTCGCTTTTCTTTTTTCTTTTTTTTTTTGTTTCCTTCTCTTATCATGCAGGAGGCTGTTGGGTCGTTTCTACTCCTGGTCTGTAGGCTTTGGAGCTGCACTGCCTGCCTCATACATCGCTATTCTGATAGAACGCAAAAGCAGGTTGGTTTTGACTCCACATCAGAGAGCTGCTCAGCTAGGTAGCGTGTTCAGCATCAGCCAGAGAAATAAAGGTTGTGCCAGAATTAAAGGCTTTGTTTACACAGCAGGTAAAAGTGGCCCAAATCTGATCTTTTCTTCAAATGTGGCACAGATGTGTGTCTGTGTGTCAGTGTGAGCAGCAAAAACACATTTATTCTGACATTTTTGATTCTCATTTGAGACGCTTTCATCTGAAATCCGATACGTATCTGATCTGCAGCAATGCGGCTCAGTCTGAACAGCCAGATCAGAATTTTTGCGACTTTTACGTCAATCCAACTCCACATTCGTCATAATTTCGCGCTGCTGAGACTCAAACATTTAGGCTGATGTTTCTGTACAAGAAAATTAGAAGACACTTATCACAACCACTCCGTGTTCGAAGATTTTTAGAAAGAAATGGCCGAACGTGGCCGTAGGAGTCCGAGGCTGCAGTGTCAAGGAAAAGTCTGAAAGCAAATTTTAAAGAATCCGAGGATGCAAACCAAAGAAGTGACCGCGCCCTTTTTACAGCGAGCTGAACACATTCTGGGTGATGAGCCCAGCTGTCAGCCAGCGAAGCTTCATGACGGCTCCTGTGATGCTGGTGAAGATGAAGCTGATCCTCCGGGAGCGAGTGGCGTTCGTTGGCGGTCGTGATTGTTTACCTCTGGATGAGCCGCGTGAGGAAATGTGAAGCAGCATGAAGCACTGATCTTTTGTGCATGCGGGTCAGTTTAGGAGCTGATCTGATCTGTTTAGGCTGATGTTGCATACAGTTCACATTTAAAAGATAATGTGAACAGCCAAACAAAAAAAAAAATCAGATTTGGTGAGAAAATCAGATTTGGGCCGCTTTTACCTGCTATGTAAACGTAGCCATGGTGCTTCTGCTACAAGTAGACTGAGAGAAACTTCAAAAATATCAGCCCTCCGTCTTAACCGGTAGAGAGAGTGTTTAGTGTGATGCTCACTCTACCAGTTAAGAATCATCTTTGGGTTAAGATGCTTTTGGGAAACCCAGCGCAGTGTTCTTAGGGATAATGCCAGTGGGGTCTATAAATCCTGCCTTTTTTTTTTTTTACCAACTTGTATGATGATATGCACTATGCACTAAAATTTAAGCTTGAATCTAAAATGTGCATGCCCTTTAGGCCGAAGCTAATGCATTTGTCTGTACACAGGAGAGGACTTCTAACAATATATATGGCAAATTTGGTAAGGCACTTAAGCTTTGTGTCAGGAATGCTAAGACATTGTTTTGAAACAGTGTTTTCTGTCAAGATAGCCACTATTATCCACCTTAATTTTTATTTTGTTGTTTTTGAATTGTAAGAAAACTCTATTTAAACTATGTTTGTTTCACACTAAGATAAAAGATTAACTGTAATTTTTACTTTAACTATATTTGTGCTTTTTTTTCAGGCAACTGAAACAGTATTCCGGATGGCTGTTGCACGAGGCATTGTTAGTCCTTTAAAACATGGAGAGGTACACTCTAAGATTTCAATGAGTGTCTTTTTCCAATAAATAAAACATGTATATACACTGATCAGGCATAACATTCTGACCACCTCCTTGTTTCTACACTCATTGTCCATTTTATCAGCTCCACTTACTATATAGGTGCACTTTATAGTTCTACAGTTACAGACTGTAGTCCATCTGTTTCTCTGCATACTTTGTTAGCCCCCTTTTACCCTTTTCTTCAGTGGTCAGGACCCCCATGGACCCTCACAGAGCAGGTACTATTTGGGTGGTTGATCATTCTCAGCACTGCAGTAACACTGATGTGGTGGTGGTGTGTTGGTGTGTGTTGTGCTGGTCTGAGTGGATCAGACACAGCAGTGCTGCTGGAGTTTTTAAACACCTCAGTGTCACTGCTGGACTGAGAATAGTCCACCAACCAAAAATATCCAGCCAACAGCGTCCTGTGGGCAGCGTCCTGTGACCGCTGATGAAGGACTAGAGGATGACCAACACAAACTGTGCAGCAGCAGATGAGCCATCGTCTCTGACTTTACATCTACAAGGTGGACCGACAAGGTAGAAGTGTCTAATAGAGTGGACAGTGTGTGGACACAGTGTTTAAAAACTCCAGCAGCACTGCTGTGTCTGATCCGCTCAGACCAGCACAACACACACTAACACACCACCACCACGTCAGTGTTACTGCAGTGCTGAGAATGATCCACCACCCAAATAGTACCTGCTCTGTGAGGGTCCATGCAGGTCCTGACCACTGAAGATGCACGTATATAGTAAGTGGAGCTGATAAAATGGACATTGAGCGTAGAAACAAGGAGGTGGTCATAATGTTATGCCTGATCGGTGTATGTTATATACATGTGTGTGTGTATATGTGCTTGTCAATATGATTACATGCTGACATATCTAATAACATGCTACACTGTTATGATTGTATTAGCTTTTTACAGCTTCTTATTTGCTTCTTATTAGTCATGCTAGCAAGGGAATTTGGCTTTGGGCAAGATTGTTCTTTCTTGGACCTCATATGAAAGTAACAGGAAATGTTTTTAATATTCTTATCCTGAAATCTCTGTCTCACTGAGCGTATTGCCTTACAGGTTTTACTCTTCTGCTTGACTGCATCACTCTACATGTTTTTCTTCAGGTGAGTGAGTCTATTAGATGCTCTGGAAGACTTTGTGCCAAAATAAAATATGGGCTCACTGCAAGCAAGTTTCATAAATTCACATTTATATTACATTTAATCATATAAACGTATTTTTTTTTTACATTTTCAGATGTAAAGATGGACTTAAGGGCTTTGCTTTCTCAGCGTTAAAGTAAGTGTTGATTGTGGGTCAGTATATATTTGTACAGTACGTTGTCTTATTGTCTACCTTCATTTGTTGTCCAAGATAAGACCATAACAGAACTCCTTGATTCTGGTGTTGTTTACTCCACTTGTTTGTTTGTTAAAGAGGATTATGTATTTGGCTGGGGCAGATTTATTGTAGGAAAGGAGGAGATCCCCACACATTCCTGCCTGGCTGAGACCACCAGTGCTTCTCGCTCAGAGAGGGCAGAGGTCCAGCCCAGCCCTCAGCCAGAGGAGGAACGGGTGTCGTCCCGAGGGGGGGCCATCGCTGCCTTGACCCGCAGACTGCTAGACACTCTGTGAGTATACATTCAAGATGTTATTCTGGCCATCAGTGTAAACACTATGGGTCGTCTTTATGTGGAAGAGGCTGATTCCCTTTGATCACTAATGTAGGTGTTGTTTCCAGGAAAGGCCTGGGCATGTATGAAGGGTGTGTATGCATAAATGTGACACTGACCGATTATCTACGCAATGAACGGTATTTATGAAAGTGAAAGTGAGAAATGTGTGCTTTTCCACACACTCCGCAGCAGATGTATGGATATTTTGGGGAAGAATGGGAATTAGTGACACCTAGTGGAAAGATGATGTACTGCGGAATTAACTGGAAATGTGACTTTTTCTAATAGTTTACTCATAACTACTTCTATATTATTATTATTATTATTATTATTATTATTATTGTTATTACCACCACTCTCTAGGTAGGGCCCGTGTGTCAAAAACAAGGCCTGCTGGCCAAGTCAGGCCCATGACGCAGTCCTATTTGGCCCACAAAATAATTTTAGTTTTCTATTCTTATTAGCCCGTTTCACCCTGAGATGCACTACAGTCCCCAGCATGCATTACAACATGGTGTGCCTTCTGACCCCCTTACCCCAACAGCAGGTCAGCGGTTACAAAAAAAAGTAGATGCCTGATGTTTAGGTCAAGTAAATAGACAGTTTTTAAAAACTACCTAAAACAATTTATTTTTATTTTTAATTATTTTTGAATAAGTATTCAGTGTCTGTTCTACTGTTGCAGTTTTGGCATGTTTTGAGTAAACAATGGCCCGTTCAGGTCTTGGCAAAATGTTAAGTAAAAATGAAATAAAAACACAGCTGACTGACAGATTTGCTGAAATTTTTAATATGGCATTTTTAGTGGGTGAGTTTGACACCACTGAGGTAGGGTAATGTTGGGTTAAGGTCATTATGATCATTACTATTGATAATAGTCTACGTAAAAGTGTGTAACAACTGTGCATAATTGTACGCTATGACTGCTTTTCCACTGTTAGTAAACTTGGAGAACAGTCTAATTGGGAGTGAGTGTGTCATCACATGGCGTAAACAGCTATTAATGGGTTAATTATAAATGTTTTTTTTTTTTTGTGGATCTTTTATGGGTAAATATTGGAGTGGGTATGTGTTTTGCCATGTTCTGATTTATGATGGGGAAACAGGTGTATGTGGTTTTCAGAAATATGACTGTAAACATTCATACAGACAAAAACAGAAAGACAGTACTGCGCAAAAGTCAGAGACCACCCTTCGTTTATTTAATTTTTTGTCAAAATGTCAATTACAAGTTGTTCATTTTCAGCAGGTGTTTCTGAGGAGATTAGATGCAAGATAATCCACTCGCATAAGGAAGGCAGAAAGTCAAAGAAAAGTAAGTGAAAAAACTGAAGTTTCTAAAAAATGGAGTGCAAAAAAATGATTAAAAGATCATGGAAGAAACTATGCAAGACCTGGTCGACCCCAAAACTGCCCCCATCAGATAAACAGCACTTAAAGCTTTCATCTCTGAGAGAGAGGAGAAAATCAAGCTGCTTCAGATCTGAAAACATCCACAGGTGTTTCTGTCCATCCTTCCACTGTGAGAAGACGACTCAGCGCTGTGGGTCTGAAAGGATGAGTAGCTGTCGAAGTCATTATTGAGAAGAAAAAAAGAAGAAAACAACAAGACAACAAGAACATTTGCAAATCAATCAAAGAAGCTTCAGGCCCTGAGCCTGGTTTATACATATTCTGCGTTAAACCGTGTCCGTGTGGAATGCCAGGAGTCTAATGTCGTTAGAACAAACATCTAAGAGTAAACTTTAGCGGTGTTGAAAAATAGCCCTGCAGATTTCTTTGAAAAACATACATACATACATACATCATCTAAACCGCTTATCCTTCTGGGTCGCGGTGGGGTGCTGGAGCCTATCCCAGCTGTCATAGGGCGGAAGGCAGGATACACCCTGGACAGGTCGCCAGTCCATCGCAGGGCAGACAGACAGGCATACACAATCACACACACACTCACATCTAGGGGCAATTCAGCAAGTCCAATCAGCCTGACTGCATGTCTTTGGACTGTGGGAGGAAACCGGAGTACCCGGAGGAAACCCACGCAGACACGGGGAGAACAGGCAAACTCCACACAGAAATGACCCCGGTCACCTGGCCGGGAATCGAACCCAGGCCCTTCTTGCTGTGAAGCGACAGTGCTACCCACTGCGCCACCGTGCCGCCTTCTTTGAAAAACTGAAATCAAATTTCCCAGAAAGAACAGAAGCTGTGATAAAGGCAAAGGGTGGACACACTAATTCTGAAAAATTTTATATCATATAGTACTTAATGGAAATGAAATAAATGAAGGGTGGTCTCTGATCAGTGCACAGTAGGATATGTGTATTTATGAGTTTAATGGGGATTTTATGTACCCTTTCATACACCAATCAGCTGTTATTGGTCATAGGGGCAACTTCTCTGTACACAGTGTGTCTTAATTTGTTCTATACTTTATTCTCCCCCTCAGATGCAAACATGGACCTAGACATAGATGTTGCAGACACTACCAAGACAACTGCATCTCCTACTGTGTTAAAGTAAGAGCCTGTTTTCTGAACCCTTAAGCTGTTTGTTTTGTACTCGCCACTTTGTTTGTGCAGAGAAGAAGGGACAGTTTGTTTTGGAACAAAGCTAGTTGTTTGCACTTGGTCAGAATCAAATCATTGCGGTTTGCTCCTTCACTGGCTGCGTTTACATGCAAAGATTATTGCCAATCCGATTGAATACATTCCGATTATAGATTAAGACTGAGGTGTTTATTTGCTCACTTTACTCAACAACCTGATGGGAAATCTCCGTTTACGTGCTCACTACAAGTAATCAGATCCACAATGACGCGCATGCATAGAGAACCACTTAGTGTTGACGTTACCATGACAACGAGCATCACGTGAGTCCAGTCAGAGTGAGACGAGTTTTCAGTTGGGGTGCTTGTGTTCTTACTTGCTTTAGCATCATGGCCAAAAAATATACTTCACATTTATTAAGGAAACGGCGAGAGGAAGACGTCGCGTTCGGAGACACATAAGCTGGACGTCCGTCCCACCGCCGTCTTTTAAAGATCAGAGCATAAACTTCGTCTCCTCTGCAGACCAGTTTCTGCTCCGCCATGTTAAACGTTATAAACTTTCACTATGACGGGACGAACATGATCAGAACGGACTTAAACTTTCCGATAGGGAATGTAATCAGATACAAGCGTTTAACTGGCTATTATGCTTCTTTTTAACTGATTATTTATAGGATTAGCCACCTCGTTCAGTCAGATAGAAATTGTATTCCGAATGGCCTCAATCGGACTAGTCTATGCCAATTGAGTTGTTTACATGGACGTATTCTATTCCGATTGAGCTATTAGTCGGATTATTAACGGATTATTAGGCTGCATGTAAACGTGGCTACTGACGCATCACACCTACATAGAAAATTAGGCTTTTGTCAGCAACCCCAGGCATAACACTTGTGTTTAAACCTGCACAACCACCAGGCTTAAATGACAGCAGTGTTGGTATATGTAAATGAAAGCTGCCACCTAGAGGTGCCTTAAATCGACAGTAAGTCACCTCTCTTATGCATCTGATAGGGCTTCATCCGCATGTTCAGCGTGGGCTACCTCATCCAGTGCTGTTTGAAGGTTCCATCCGCATTTAGGCAGGTTTTCACCAAACCCTCTCGCCTTCTGTCGCTGCTCTACAACAAGGAGAACTTCCAGTTAGGAGCGTTCCTCGGCTCTTTTGTCAGTATATACAAGGTAAAGTCTCTACCAAGGTTGCCACTAATTCTGAATGTATATTGCTGTCATCTGCAGCTTCACAGAGAATTGCTGAAGATCTTAAAGATGCCATTTTTATGAATTTATGATTAATTATCTCTCTCTCTCTCTGTCACTGTCTGTGTTGTTGCTTGTGTTCTTCTCTCTCTTGTTCCTAAAGGGAACCAGTTGCTTCCTGAGGTGGGTGCGTAACCTTGATGACGAGCTTCATGCGCTCATAGCAGGTAAGCCTCTGTGTGCCTTCACTGGTCCTTCGCTGGATTTCTGCTTTTAGTGCCAGTATTTTGAACTTCTTTCCTTAACGGCCGTCACCGTAGATTATACTAGTATTTGAATAATATACAGATTAGATCTTAAAAAAGGGCCAAACAATATAAATGGACTTGAGTGAACAATAAAACCATGTATAACCTTTGAGGGGTTCCAACAAACTTCAGAGATAAATATTATATTCAGACTGTTCCTTACTGTAAGAGAGAACACTAGGAAGAATTTAAAAACTGCATTATTGCCATGCAAATTAGAAAGTAACCATAGACTGTTTAAAATAAGGTGTCATAGAAGAACCATTTTAGTTCCTTTAATGAATCTTTACATAATATAACGTTCCTAAACCAATGTACTTTCATGCAACTAGATGCATGTTGTGAGTTGTAATTTCCATCCAACTTTCCGATTTAAAAACAAAATTGCATGCAACATTAATTATATTACATTAATAATTACTTCAATTTCTAATTAGCTTAATTAGCAGCTTGTACTGTTTGATGTAGTGTATAATTCTCACTATATAAGTCATTACTGAGGTGTTGTTTACATACTTGCAACATTTTTTAATTGGCTTCTTATATTTTTTTCAGATGCAGCTCTTTTATGTCTATGCATCTCTGTTTATCTTGGTTAGCTTTTTCATCTGTTCTGTGTATGTTAATGCTTGGAAAATTCATGTTCAAGAAATTAATGTTAAATCACATTTGTAGCCTACGCGCTCTCTCTCTCTCTCTCTCTCTCTCTCTCTCTCTCTCTCTCTCTCAGCACAACAAGTGCATCAGGTACTGCATCTCGGTCACTCGTTCTGTAACAGTTTTCATCCTTTGGGTCCCAAGGGAAGCGGAGCTCTTTCTCAAATCAGCAAGTGTCAAGAAAAGAGAAAACGAGTGTAGCTACATATATCTTGATAACAGCAGACTACCAAAAAAGATTAAACTGTGAAATTAGAACTGTGGCATAAGCAGCCAATTAAACAGCTGTTACCATTAGCAGCAGTTAAGCCACATCTGGTTACAGAAACGTCAACTTTGAGAAACTCACGTTTGTTGTCATGACTCGGGTAACTAACAAAACGAAGAACTTTGTTCATGTAACTTAAAAATGTAACTTATAAAATGAAAAAACTACCAAGGTTGCGTAAAGTTTATCAGGATTAATTCTTGTTAACCACTCAACAAATTATTTTCTGTTTTGTTTTATTGTTTATTGATTCTATGTGAAATGATGTTGATTGGTATGACCACATGTTGCATTGTTGGTGTTTTGATGTGAAATTGAGATGCTCGCAACCGTTGCGGCTGAGTTTCAAGTGAGTTGCAGGATGCTTTACATAATGTAACTCAGTTGCAGTGTAGTTTCATGTAGGTTTCAAGCGACTAAAATGGATTTACACAATGTAATCCAGCCTAAGGGTTGTTCGTACAGCTTTACATTAGATTGATGTAAAAGACTCTTTAAAAGGTTCTTTTGGTTCTTCTATGGCATCACACAAAGAACCCTTTTTGGCACCTTTTATGTTTAAGAATGATCTAGAAGATAAACTTTAACAAGTAATCAAGTTTAATGAGTAATCATGACCGCTCTGCTTCCTGTCTCAGACTTCATTCTCTCGTTTCAGGCTTCCTCGCTGGCTTGTCCATGTTCTTCTATAAGAGCACCACCATCTCAATGTACCTCTTCTCTAAGCTGGTGGAGGTGACTGAGTTCTTTCTATATAACCCACGTCTTATAAATATATAGCTTTCAAAGTTGTTGCACAACATCAAACAAAGTACGTAAAGCCATTTTGTGGCTTTGTGTGAGCGTAGTTGGCCTGTTCATGAGCATTTCTGATCTTCTTAACCCCTATTTCTGAGGACACTGTGCTATTAACCTCTTAATCTCTTTTTTGGTTAGACCATGTACTTCAAAGGCATCGAGGCCGGGCACTTCCCCTACTTCCCTCAAGCTGACACAGTAATCTATGCCGTCTCAACTGCTATCTGCTTCCAAGCGGTGAGTCAGATTCACCCTTCAGAACATGCAAATTAAACAGCACGACAGAAACTTAAAATGAAGCAAACGCTAAAGGCTCCCGAGGATTAAAGACACAGTTATCATCAAAATTTAACCATAACCGTTGACAATAATTGGTGATTTCTCCAGTGGATCAGGGACTAATGTAGATATATTTTAATGGATCAGGTATCGGTGAAATCAGCCTGATCCACTTCCAATCCTTTGTTTCTTTTTTTTGCGCTGCTGTTATAAAGGTGTATTAAATGTTGAATATTAACAACCTGTGGCAGTGAGGCATGTTTTCAGTCATAGAGTGAACAGTGATGGTGTGCCGACTAGGTCTGGGCGATAGTGCGGTGTAATAGGATATCATCGATGATGGATAAGTACCCTGATGGCAGTGTGTAAAAAGGTGATAATCTGCATTTTAGGAAAAGAACAGAGAGAGAGCTTAGGCTATGTTCACACAGCAGGTAAAAGTGGCCCAAATCTGATTTTCTCACCAAATCCGTTTTTTTTTGTTTAGCTGTTCACATTGTCTTTTAATTGTGATCTGTATGCGACATCAGTCTGAACAGATCAGCTCCTAAACCGGCCTGCATGCGCAAAAGAACAGTGCTTCACGTGGCTCATCCAGAGGTAGACAGTCATGACGGCCAGCGAACGCCTGTCGCTCACGGAGGGTCAGCATCATCTTCACCAGCATCACAGGAGGGATTATGAGGTTCCAATGGTTGACAGCTGGGCTCCTCACCCAGAATGTGTTCGAGTTCGCCTTAAAAAGTGCACGTTATTCGGCCACGGCCACTTCTTTGGTTCGTGTCCTCGGATTCTTTCTCGGAACTTTTTTTTCTGATGCTGCAGCCTCGGTCTCCTCCGGCCTCGTTCAGCCGTTTCGTTTGAAATCTCTTCGAACACGGAGCGGCTGCAATAAGTCTCTTCTAATTTTTTGTACAGAAACATCAGCCTAAATGTTTGAGTCTCAGCGGCGCGAAATTATGACGAATGTCGAGTTGGACTGATGTAAAAGTCGCATAAATTCGGATCTGGCTGTTCAGACCAAGTCGCATTGCCGCAGATCGGATACATACCTGACTTCAGTACCACATATCAAAGCGTCTCAAATGAGAATCGAAAATGTCAGATTCAGTGTGTTTTTTGCTGTTCTCACTGGCACACATACACATCTGTGTCACATATGAAAAAAAGACTGGATTTGGGCCACTTTGACCTGCTGTGTGGACAAAGCCTAGTTTAGAACTTCCCCTTCTGACTTTAAAGTGACTAGCTGGTTAAAAAATGAGCTAAAGTGGCAACACATTGCTCTAGAACATCTAAGTTGGCTCTAACCTGGAGAGAAAGCCCTTCTGATCTCTGTCTCTGGCTGGCATTCTCAGAAAAAAGGTAATAAATAGTATTGATTAGAATGTGCACGTTTTATTCACTTATACAGGTAAAACATTGCATTATTGTGGGGCTTTTTAAAAGGCCACTGTGTGACATGAGTAAAATATTCATTATTTTTTGTACAGCTTAGTGTGCCGGTGGTTAGCTAAACGACGGAAACTCCGCTGTATTGACAGAAAATGCCTTGGTTTTAATGTGGAAAGCATGTGGCCATGGCTTTGAAAACCGCTTGCAGTCTGAAGTTTCTCCAGCAGGGTGCGCTGTTGGCACAAAAGTGATACTGAAGAACTCCACAACCAGCAGAAGAAAAATCAAGATTTTTTTGGTGTCTTAAAAAAATTAAATTAAAATAAAATACATCATCACCCAAATGTGTGTGTATATATATATGTATATATGTGAAATTTGCATATCGTTACACCCCTGTTAGGCTTACAGTTAAGCATATTAGGAATTCGGGAAGTATACAACTGAATGTTTTATTATAATAAGCGAAGTTTAGTTTGACTTTTCTTGCGCTCTGATTCTTCTCTCTAGGCGGTGATGGAAGTGCAGAATCTGCGGCCATCATACTGGAAGTTTCTGCTAAGGCTGACCAAGGGCAGGTGGGTCATGAATTGACTGCGTTTGACCCACAGTGCATAGCTGTGGTTATTAGAGAGAGTGGACATGTCTCAGAGGCAGGCAGTGTGGGTGTTTGAGTGTGGGCGCTCTCTGGCAAAGTGAGCGCAAACTGAAACGGAGCTGAAGAAATATGTTAGCTAACATTCAGCCTACTTTTTTTTTTTTTTAATCTTCAGGTTTGCTCTGATGAACAGAAAAGTACTTGATGTGTTCGGGACTGATGCATCTAGACACTTCAAAGACTTCACACCCAAACTGGACCCCAAATACACGCTGTTTCCTCCAGGCATGGACGTAGAGCTGAGCTAATGGACCAGGCTGACTGCTGCCACCGTGATGCTTACGCCACATAACCAAATTCTAGAGAGTTTGGTTTATCTCTCACTTCTACCTTCGTACAATGTGAGCGGCATCGCCTTGGTTGAGAGCATAGCGTTTCTGATGTTGCACAGAAGCAGTATTATGTGTTCATATCTGCTCATAACCCTTGGAAGTTAATTGGAGTTCTTGGCAGACCTGATAACTATTGAAATATTTCTACATTTTATGGCTTGTTTACTTTTACGCCAGTAGGTGTAAAGCCTCATCATTCAGTCGATACAAGCTGATAGAAGGTGACTATTATAGTTAAAATTCTGTAAAATTGACATGATGCCTCAATTGGCAGGGAGAATGTAGATGTGTTGAATTAGAGATTTACAATTTTTTTTTAATAATCAACCAAGAACAGGACACACTTTTGAGCTCAGCCTCTGGCTGTTTGTTGGAACAGTTTGAACTTTTCTGAACTTTTATTTGCTCTGTCGCGGTCTGTGACGGCGGTTACTGGACAACAGTATCAGATATCTGACTGTCTGTGTGAAACCGGGTCTTGCTTACATCAGGGTTTCCTTTGTTCTGTTTTTTTTTTTTTTAGTAGTTTCTTTACTGACATTTTCAGTAGTGCACAAGTTTTACCCTAATTTAAAAAAAAAACAACTGGTACTGCCCAAGAACTAAACTGATTGAAGGGGTATTTACAGACCTTTGGAGAGAAAACCAGGTAATTTGGGGTGGAGGGATGATAATTAAACACATCATAGACGCCGTTCTCAGTAGCACAGATTTTATTTAAATTAGCAATAAGCATCTAGTGTAAAATAATAGTGATATAATCAAATTATTGCTGTATACATGTATGAAACTCTTTGTAATTTATGTAAAAAGAAAAAAAAGCATAATGTCTTTTGTTGATGTTTCTATAAGAGCAAATGCTTTCTATTAAAAAAACATCTAAAAATTTCATGTGTATTAAAGTGATTTAACTTCACTCACTTCGAGTCACGTCTGATGACATAAGTAGTAATAAATGATCGATATTAGTCAGCGTCTGACTTAATTTACAATCAAAATGGGCAGATTGTGCTACAGAAAATTACACAAAAGCCTCAACTAAAATTAATGTACCATCAGTACTGGGTGATTCAAAAAGATTCATCCGATTTCAAAGTACCGTATTTTTACAACCATGAGACGCCTAGGAACCAATCACAATCCAATTGAAAGAGGGGGTCATAGAGTTTCTGAGTGTCAGTGGACGACGGCTCCCTTCAGTCTGAGAGGAGATGAGACCCCTGAGCAGAAAGCGTTCTGCGTTCTCCACTTCAATAAGAGTGAATCCGTCATAACTGTGCAGTGTGATTTTCATCGGCAGTGAAGCTCCAACAGCTCAGAGCGTTCGTTGTTGGTTCCACAACACTGGATGATCTCCGAAATCGCACTGAAAGAGCCGTGAGTGCAGCGACACCCGACATGCTCAATCCAGTATGGGATGAATTTGACTGTAGAATTGATGTCTGTACAGCTGGAGGAGGTTCATATTGAGCACTTGTACAATTACATAATAAACTTTATGCTCATTTAAACCATTTACAGTTTACTGCATTGATCTGTAATGATTTACAAGAGAAATAAATCATTTTTAAATAGGATGAACCTTTTTGAATCACCCTGTATTTAATGTGCCCACTCTTTGACTTTTATTATAGCTTCCATTCTTTTCAGGAGACTTGCTTTCAGCTTGTCTAAGAAATATGTAGGGATATTTGTTCACATTTCAGAAGTTCAGTCTTAGAAGTTGGTTGCGTTGCAGCAGGAAGCGGCCACATCGAGGCCACTTTTATTAGCAGGCGACTCTGAGCGACCACATCGCGGCCACAGCTACGATGAGAAGTCACGCGAGCCACTACTATCTAAAGGGACTTGATGTGGACTGAAGGTTTGTGGCGCTTAGTGTTTTGGGATTAGTAGATCAGGAATTACTGGAACTCGCTACATTCCTTAATACGTTGCATCCTACAAGGCCACTTTTATTAGTATGGCCGCTCAGTGGCGGCCGTTAATTAAAGGGGCCGCGATGTTGCCGGTCAGTGGAGGCCGCTAATAAATGCAGCCGCGATGTTGCCGATCAGCGATGGCCACTAATGAAAGCAGCCGCATCACAGCCACTTCACTGCCACTTCCATTACCGACCGCTCTGCACCTGACACATTTATTAGTCACTTCTTTTTGGGCATATTTCACGTCATCTGCACAGCTACAATGAGAAGTCACACGAGCAACTACTATCTAAAGGGATTTGATGTGGACTGAAGGTTTGTGGCGTTTAGTGTTTTGGGGATTAGGAGATCAGGAATTACTGGAATTCCTTAGTAAGTTACATCCTACAAGCATTGCAGGCTGTAACTTTTTTAACGAAGTAAATAGGAAAAAAATGTCTCAGTAAATATGAACCCATATCACACATGAATTTATCTAGCCTCACTAAAACGCTGTGTAGTTCTGTTAGCCGTGTTATTTTGGTTTTGTTCAGCGATGTGGCAGTTTAAATTTACTTCGTCCTGTGATGGTTGTTCGGTTGACGGGAGGAATATTTTTTTCTGATTTTTTTTTTCTCTTTCCATCGTTTCATTTGACTCATCAGTGGCTATGTTTACATGCAACGATTTTTGCCAATCCGATTGAATACAATCCGATTACAGATTTAGACTGAGGTGTTTATATGCACTCTATTCAACAATCTGATGGAAAATCTTCGTTTACATGCTCACTACAAGTAAGCCGATGCAAAATGACGCGCATGCGTGGAGTAGCGCTTAGAGTAAACGTTACCATGACAGCGAACATCACGTGAGGTCCAGACCAGTTTCTGCTCCGCCATGTTGAGCGGTGTAAACTTTCGCCGTGACGCGACGCACATGCGCAGAACATATTTACACGTTCCGATTGGAATGTAATCGGATTCAGGCGTTTACATGGCTATTATTCCTCTATTTAACGGATTATTTAGAAGTTTACCCACCTCGTTTAATCGGATAGAAATTGTATTCCGAATGGCCTCAATCGGATTAGACTATTCCGATTGAGGTGTTTACATGGACATATTCTATTCCGATTGAGCTATTAGTCGGATTATTAACGGATTATCAGGCTGCATGTAAACGTGGCTAGTGAGATTATCCAGCACTGTATTATTTTTATTTTTTGAAGCGCTTCTGCTTTTTTTCAGGTGCATTTGTTCTGTACTGTTCGCAGAAATGCTGTGCCGCCTGAGACGTCCGGTAGGTTGGTGTGGGGGGACCAAAGTGAGAAGCCCCATTCTCAAAAGGCTGAGACTGAGAATGAAGTGACAGATTTAAAGGCATCAAAAAATACACAATACCTGTAAAAAGTGATCATAAAGAAATGTTAAATTTGCCTTAAAATAATTTTAAAATATTAAATATGAACTGAAATAGTAAATGTCGACTATATACAATGGTATTGAGTTATTGCCAAATGAATAAATCCAAAGATAAAGCCACTTTTATTAGCGTCTGCCATCCAGCAGCCACATCGCGGCCACTTTTATTAGCGTCTGCCATTGAGCGGCCACATCAATATCTGCAACGCCTGCTTTTGTCCCGTTAAAGGTCCATTACACCATTACAGCACAAATTCATTTCAAGAGATACAAATTTACTTCAAAGGGTTTCCAAACAGCAAAGTGCATTAGACAAAGTATTCTGGCAATTTTCATTCAATTATTAAATGTACTTCATAAACACATTTGCATACATGTATTTTTCCATAATACATTTCTATGTGTAATATTTCCCCATAAATTTTAATGCAATATATTTTTAAATATATTTACTAATATTATTAACATGGCAAAATATTCTGAAATGAATTTTTGTGTTTGGAATTTATTTTGAGGATTGCAATTAATTTGAAATGTAAATGTATATATAAAGTGATGGAGCAGTGGCGCTGATGGTCGCTAATAAAAGTGGCTGTGAAGTGGTCGCTTTATGCTGCCACAAGAGCAGCCACTTCCGCCCGTCACCCGGCACGCAGAGATCCGACTCCTACCGTATACTTTTTTGTTTGCATTTAACCCTAACTGTATATATCGGGAACATAACATATATATCAAGGGGAAAAACACATAAAAAGTGGTCCTAACTAACCAACCAACTGACCAACCAGACCATAGATAGAATGAATCATATTGACATTGTTCCACAAAGCAAATCTGGTGATAGGAACCAGGAGATTTGATGTCTGTATTGCAAATAACTGGATTAAAATATGTTTTTGGCCACAACTGTCTTAAACAGTCTCTGAGGCATCAGGCGGTGTGTTCATAACCATTTTGTGGTGTAACTCTCTGTGAGGGAGCTTTTAGAGGTGGACGTCTGGTTCCCATCTCCACCACTATAAAGAAATCGGAATCAGTAAGTTTTTGTAGAACAGAGCATTTTACACCAAACAACTCTGAGTGGCAGATGTTACATCTCAGTCTTCTAATTATGTATAAATTTTGGTAATTCAGTGGAAATTCAGCTTCCATGAATTGAGAGTCCTTATTTGAGTTTTGTGACCTCTATCATCAACTGGGGGCGATGTGGTACAGAGACTAAATCAGAGAGGCCTCAGGTTGAAACACACCTAGATGCCAATGCCAAAGGTAGAAACGTACTGTTTATCCATATTTCTGCATCAACCCTATCTCAGTTGTCGTTACTACATTGCCCTACAACATTACCTCTTCTTTTGAATTAATCTGGAGATGAACAAAAAAAGCAGATAGAAAAGAGAGTTAAGTCTGAGACGGGGGTCGCAACCCAAATGTTAAGAAGAGCCATTTTGTCCTTTCAACAAAGATCAAACCACCTTGGGAGCCACAATATTTAATGTCCATTTTAACTCTTTCACCATTTAAGGCGGAACGGGATAATATAAACAAGAAGCTGGCGAATGAGAAGCTGACTTCAGCTTTGTGACTTTTTAGTGCTTAACTATTTTCTGTATAGAACCATATACAACACATTCACCATCAGTCTGAAGGACCATTTCATGCAAAGAACCATTTAAGCATGCACATGGTTCTTTGAGTGTCTATGTGCCTTTACTAAAGAACCTTTAAAGAGCCCTTTTTATGTGTGCAGCTGCAGGCCTGCCTCTAGGAAAGACGGCGTCCCATTCATATTTCAACCAGTGGCCAGTCTCCTCATTTATAACTTTCTTTGAGTGTTTGTTTCTATATAGAACCAGTATCTGTAAAGAACTCATTAAAACCATCTTTTTTAAGAGCATGGTAATACCAGAATCCTTTATGGTGCTATATAGAACCATTTCAAAAGGGTTCTGTGTAGAACAGTCTGAAGAACCATTTCACCATGCAAAGAACCATTTAAGCATGCACATGGTTCTACATATGAAACATGGTCTTTACTAAAGAACCCATGAAGAACCATCTTTTTTTTAAGAGCATAGCAACAACAGAACCCTTTTTGGTGCTATGTAGAACTATTCACCATCAGTCTGAAGGACCATTTCATGCAAAGAACCATTTAAGCATGCACATGGTTCTTTGAGTGTTTATGGTTCTATATAGAATTTACTAATTTACTATAATTTTAATATTATTCTAATATTTACTAAAGAACCCTTAAAGAGCCCTTTTTATGTGTGCAGCTGCAGGCCTGCCTCTGGGAAAGATGGCATCCCATTCATATTTCAACCAGTGGCCGGTCTTCTCATTTATAACGTCTCTGATGTGAACAGCGACTGTTTGTACTGGCTGTCTGTGTCACCATTCAGGAAGGGACCGTTACCAGTATACAAATCAACCACTGGTTACCAGTTAAACTATAAGCCAAAACACACTAGAAAACCATCAGAAACCAAAAGAAACACTTAATGGTTTCTATGGATTCAGCAGGGATAACGTTCAAAAACTAAAGTTTGTTTTAGCCCAAAGCTGAATATTATGCTCAGTTTAAG